TAGGCAGTTTTAGACCCCTTCTCCAGCAGAGGTAGCCTGTTGGGAAAAATTTTGCACAGGACAGGAGTTTTCTTTCTCATCATCAGAGAAATACCTAAACAGTGTATAGCATTCAATCCAATTTGTTGGGGGGGTCAAATGTGTGTCTGACACATGCGGACACCCATTACCATGCTTAAGGGCTTCCAAATCAAACTGAGAATTTCATGCATCTCAACTACATGTGGAAATTTTAAAAGATAGATTGTTGGAATGGACGCTCAATCTCTCCCTGATGGGACACAACCTCCTTACCTAATTCCGGAAAGTATTAGGCACAGGTTGGCCAGAGCCAAGGCTTGGGGACCTCAGTGTGTGTTGGAGCACTGCTGGAGTCTAACTAGCTAAAACCACATTGTTTGCCAGTGATCTCACTGTCTGGCAAGCTTTCCCGCTGCTTATCCAGCTCGGACCACCCTACCTGTTAGGGTTTTGGCCTGCAGTGTTAACGTAAGGAGCTGAGTGGGAGGAATCCCGGCCCCCATTCTGCCCTTCCAAGTCTGCCGATGAGCCAAACTGGCTGTGTTGTCACCAGAGGTGCCCTGGAATACTGTGAACTTGCTTGGGTCAGGAACTGGATTACCAGAGCCACCACAGAGAGCTGACTCGATTATGGCATTCTATTGCCAACTAAACATGTCACCTTGGAGCCAGTTCAGCTCAACTTCCACACTAGTCAGGAAAAACTGGTCAGATTACCGCTGTAAGGGCAATACAGTTCAAATGAGAGTCAATCTTGGATTGAGACTCATAAATCTGTGGAATTAAAGTGTAAACCAAAGCCTTGTTTCTGCACCAAATGAGTCAGTGCCTGGAAGTTCTGACTTAAGTGTTGCACTATCTGCTTACACTTACTTACAGAGACTGTTTCTAGCAGAGCAAAAATCTGAGTTATAATGTCTTTCTCTGCATCGATTGTTATATGGATTAAGCAGAAAAGCATTCAACTGCCAATTTTAACTAAATACCATAGTTAAGTCTTTCCAAATGAAGTATGTATCTGATGGCTGGAATTCTTATTGGTCAATGCCGTACATTAATTGTTCAATTAATTCTCTTCTATTCAAGCACTGCATGAAAATTCAGATTTTGGTGCTTATTATGTTTTCATCTTTCCTCTGAAATAATTGATTTCCTTAGAACCATGTATAATTTACAGAACATGAGAAGGCCATTCGGTCCACCATGTCTGTCCTGGCATTTTGAAAGAGTGAACTTTTGGTCCCATTTACCTGTCTTTTCCTCATACCCCGGCAAAATTATTACTAATGTCGGCTCAGTTATCTAGGACAACCCAGCCCATAAATGATGTCTGTTCACAGACCACTAATTGCAGCAAAGACCTTGATACAGCAGCAAAGGTACAGTAATTTGAGCTGGGAGTATATTTCCTATTGCAAGCGTTCAAAGTAACAGCCACCATCCATTCATGGATGTACTCCAGACCTCTCTGAGCCAGGATGGAACTCGGCATCTTGTTTGACTCTCAACTGTCCTTTAACACCACATCCATGCCATGACCCGTTTTGCCTTTCCCCACCTCTGCAATATCGCCAGACTCTGCCACTGACACTCCCCACAGGCTCCCAGGACTCTCATCCACGGAATCATCAATTCGCGGATGATGCTAAACTAGGAGGGAGAGTAAACACCGAGGATGACATTAAAAAAATGCAACAAGATATAGATAGGCTCGCTGAGTGGGCAAATAGGTGGCAGATGAAGAATAATGTAGGGAAGTGTGAGGTCATCCACCTGGGTGGCAAAAACAGTGGAGCAGATTATTTTTTAGAAGGGTAGAAACTAGATAATGTTAGCGTTCAGAAGGCCTTGGGTGTCCTTATACACCAGTCACAAAAAGTTAGTTTGCAGGTACAGCAAGCAATTAGGAAGGCTAACGGTATGTTGGCATTTGTTACAAAAGGGTTAGAATATAAGAGTAGGGAAGTCTTGCTGCAACTGTATAGGGCCCTGGTAAGACAGCACCTAGAGTATTCTGGGCAGTTTTGTTCTCCTTATTTATGAAAGGATGTACTCGCCTTGGAGGGGGTACAACGTAGGTTAGTACCAAGGATGAGGGGGATGAGTTATGAGGCTAGGTTGAGCAATTTAGGCCTATATTCTCTAGAATATAGAAGAATGAGAGGGATCTTATAGAATCCTATAAGATTATGGGGCATGACAGAATAGATAGTGGGAGACTTTTTCCCCTGGTTGGAGAAACTATACCAGGGATCACAGTCTTAAAATTAGGGGTAAGCTCTTTCGCACTGAGATGAGGAAAAACTTCTTCACTCAGAGGGTAGTGAATTTATGGAATTCTCTACCCTAAAGGGCTGTAGATGCTCAGTCCTTGAACATATTCAAAACTGAGATTGATAGATTTCTTGTGAATCAAGGGATTAAGGGATATGGGAATAAGGCGGGAAGGTGGAGTTAGAATAGATCAGCCATGATCTTATTGAATGACGGGGCATGCTCAAGGAACTGAATGGCCTACTCCTGCTCCAAATTCTTATGGTCTTATCACATTCCGGCTCGACTACACTAACTCCTTGCTTGTTGGCCTTCCCAACTCTTCCCTCTACAAACTGCAAATTATTCAGAACTCTGCAGCTTGTGTCCTCTCCCACACCTGGCACCGTGAACCCATCATCCCCACCTGGCTCCACTCGCTCCCCATTCCTCAGAGGATCGAGTTCAGAATCCTTGTCCTTGCTTTCAATGCACTCCATAGCCTTGCTCCTCTGTAACCTACTAACTCCTTACTGACGATATAAAAGGAAAGGGCTTGTTAAGCCAAATGGCCTTTCGTTAATCATAACAATTCTTATGCATCGATGTTTAAAAATCTATTGCATCACGAAGCAGTGGCAAGCTGGGCCAGATGCTTCCTGGTCGGCAGAATAATACAGAATAAAACTGGCTACAAAGTACAGAGTGAATTTGGCAGATATTTAGGAGAAATAGCTCGAGCTAACAGAATAGCACTGGTTGCCCAAAGTGTGTGGGGGAAAAGTTCTATTCCCACCATCAATGAGCACAATATTTGCCACAAAATATTGATTTCAGAAACAGAAGAACTACAGAGACTACCAAAGCTGCAGCAAGTTGGAAAATCCCAGTTTCCCTTACAATGGAAGTTGATCTCTTCCTCATTCAGAAAAAAAAATGCAATATACTCAGTTATAAATAACATTCTTTCCCGCTACGTCACTGAAAACCATATTTACATATTAGAAATCGACTACAACCATTTCTTATGATGTCTTTTAATAAAGCTGTAAGAGTTACTAAGATTACTGCTGTAGTGTTTGCAATAAAGAATATTCTGGTTATTTGCAATGCCATACCTGGAAGTATCAGACAGAACTGTGTAACACTTTCTTCCCCTTAATTTACCAATACAACAACAAGATTACATTTGTATAGCGCCTTTCACATCGGGAGGATGTCCCAAGGCATTGGACAGTGTACAGCATTATAATCCTTTCAATGAATATGGTTCAAGATGCTACCGGCATGAAGGGTGCTAGATAAATGCAAAATGTTGTTATTGGTTCCAATAACTTGAAATATCTCAGAGAGCAATTTCTGTAAAGTGAAGTTAAGAAGCATTTATAGACATTGACATACCAAACCACTACTTTGGCTGAATCTGTGAGTCCACCAGTACGTAATCAACAAATGTTTACAACAATGTGCATTTATATAGCACGCTTCACCTCGGATAACATCTTGGAGCTGTAGCTCAGTGGTTAGAGCACTCGCTTTGCAAGTGAGAGATCTGAGTTCAATTCCCGGCAGGTCAGGGCGAAACCTTGGGCAAGTTTCCTTACTCCACACAGAGCCTAATAATAATCCCTCCAAAACCAAAAACAATAATAAATTGGTCATTTTCAATCTACGACTGTTTGTGGGACATTACTGTGCGCAATTGGCTGCCGCGTTCGCCCACAAATATACAGTCAATTCACTTTACAGTGTGTTCTGTGAAGAGCTTTGGGACGTCCTCCCGACGTGAAAAGCGCTATATCAAATGCGAGGATTATTATTATTATTATTGGAGCGCTTTATAAAGTTGAGCGACTCTCGCCACCACAATCGGGTTTTATCAGTGCATTGAAACTGCATTTTAGCAAACTCCAGAATTTACAGGACAAGGTGCAACTAACCCGTTGGTGGCGGGGAGGGCGATGCATCTTTTTTATCGAGTGTATTTTTCTACCAGACAAGTGCTTATGATCTCAGGAAATCGGCGCTGGAGGAGTTGCCTGGACTGACAAGTACAGAACCATAAAACCATAATCACTAACCCCAGTTTACTTCAGGTTCAAGGGTACATCTGCATTTGCTCCAGCACTCTTTTTTTTTTGGGGGGGGGGGGGTAGGGGGGGGTTCGATACTCTCATTTTTTTTTCCAGATCACAAAAAAAGAAGTGAGAAGCAAACGAGCAAAGAGGTCAAACAACTCCGAGGAGCCTCTGGTATGTTTTGAAAGGGATTCCGCAACACTGAAGATCAACCAATTCCTGAATAAGGATCGCAGCCCCAAAAAAATAATAAAAGAACCCACTTCACACACCGCGCACCGAGAGCCACTGTTCCGCGGTACAGCAGAGCAGCGCCAGTGCAGTGATGTCCTCACCCCTCCCGGTTGGAGGAGCTGTGAATTTCTCACACACACCGCAGATTGCACCACAGTCGGGGGGACGGGGGGGGACGGGAGTCGAGTTGTTTCTGTCAGTGAGAGCGGCGGCGGCGGCCAAGTCAACGGCAGCCCAGCGGCCGCCGCCGCCGCCGCTCACCGACTGCGACCCGCGGGGCTGTGCACAGGGCACCGCCAGCAGGGCGGCTCTGCCGGGGCTCGAGCCGAGGAGCCGAACCATGTTTACCTCAGACCCTTGCGGCCGGGCCACGCCGCCGCCCTCCCGCCCGCCCGTCCGCTCCCGGTCACCCACCTGAGGAAGTTGGATAACTGGGGCAGGGACACGGTGCCGCCGCTCCCACCCGCCGACAGCCGGTGCCGACCGCTCAGCAGCTTCTCCACTACGGCCACGTTGCCGGTCCGGGCAGCCTCCAGCAGCTCCTGCTCTTTGCCCATCGTGTGTTGTGTGTGTTGTGTGTGTGTGTGGCGTGAGGGCGCCTCACGGCCGCTCGCGCTCCCGCCGCCGCTGACCCGCAGCCGCTCCGACGAACGACCGAACGCCTGACCCGGCGCATGCGCACACCCGCAGCTCGCGGGAGCGAAGGCGCGCATGCGCCGGCTGCCCTGGACCGGCGGGGTCCGCGCACGCGCGGTCGGTCGGTCGGCCCAGACTCGCGTCGGGCGGGTTTCACGCCCAATTCGGAGGTTTTTTTTGGTGTGATTGATTGATTGATTGATTGATTGATTGATTGATTAATTGTGGACGTTAACAAAAAAAAAGGCCACCGGATTATTTTTTTAAAAAAATTTAAAAACCCGTCTTAAAAGGGTTTGAAAAAAAACCCACTGGTCTCAATGGGGGTCGCTCTGTGAAGCATCGGAGGGTGGGGGGGGGTGCGACACGTGACTGTCGGGCTACTTTTGGGCGGGCGTTTGGGCTACAAACCGGCTCGCTGGCGCAGGCGCAGACTGTCCCGGGCCGCTGTCAGGCTCATGGAGTCGGAAGAAGAAGCGGAGTTTCAGGCGGCGGCGGCCCCGGCGTCCCCCTCTGGGGAGGCCGAGTCCGGGCCCAGCACCGCCGTCAAGGCCGGCGCCAGTCCCGAGGCAGCAGCGAGGCCGGAGCCGGGCTCCGGGGAGGCGGCGGCGGCCGGTGAGAAGGAGGCGGGTGTGAGGGAGAGCGCGGAGGCCATGTCGGGGGCCGGCGGAGGGCGAGGCGGGCGAGGCGGAGGCCCAGGGTAAGAAGCCGCGGGTGGACCCGGCCCGGGACAAGAAGGAGAAGAAGCAGAAAGTGGATGAGGACGAGATCCAGAAAATGCAGTGAGTCCGCGAACCCATCATATACACTCCCACATCGTATACACTCCCCCATCATATACACTCCCCATCGTACACCCCCCATTGTACACCCACCCTCCCACCATACACACACCCCCATTGTACACACCCCCACCATACACCCTCCCACCATACACCCTCCCACCATACACCCCCCCCCACCATACACCCACCGCCCACCATACACCCCCCCCCCACCATACACCCCCCCCCACCATACACCCCCCCCCCCCCCCCCCCCCACCATACACCCCCCCACCATACACCCCCCCCCCACCATACACCCCCCCCACCATACACCCCCCCACCATACACCCCCCCCACCATACACCCCCCCCACCATACACCCCCCCACCATACACCCCCCCAACCATACACCCCCCCCCCACCATACACACACCCCCACCATACACACACCCCCCGTGATCATATAGACCCCCCCATTATACACCCCCCCCATCACACACCCACCCCCCGCCATCATATAGACACCCCCATTATGCACCCCCCATCATACACACACCCCTCGCCATCATATAAACCCCCCCATTATACACCCCCCATCATACAACCCCTGGCATCATATAGACCCCCCATTACACACCCGCCCCACCATACACACCCCCCCGCCATCATATAGATCCCCCCATTATACACCCCCGCGCAATTATGCAGCCCCCATTATACACCCCCCCCCATCGTACAGACCCCCCCCACATCGTACACCCCCCCATCATACACACATACAGACCCCCGCCCAACATGCAGACCCCCCCCACTCCATCGTACATACACCCCCATCATACAGGCACCCCCCCATCATACGACCGTTTGTGGGACATTGCTGTGCGCAATTGGCTGCCGCATTTCGCCCACAAATATACAGTCAATTCACTTTACAGTCTATTCTGTGAAGCGCTTTGAGACATCGAGAAGATGTGAAAAGCGCTATATCTAATGCAAGGATTATTATTACAACTCCTCATCATACACACATCTCCATCGTGCAGCCCACCCATCCTACAGCCCCCCCCCCCGCCCATCATACACGTCCCCCCATCCTTTCACTTCTGGAAAGACATCTTAAAATGCTTTGCAGGATATACTGTAACATGTAGTGACTGTGTTTTGTGGGCTACCCTCCCTCAGCCCCTCATACCCCAAATACTTACTATAACTTCAGCATTTCCAGATACCCCCACATATTGGATACTCAGCAACATGCATTTATACAGCACCCCTCACATAGGATAATATCTTGATGCACTCCACTTTGGCCGACAAAATGCAGTTAACTTACACTACAAAATATTCTGTGAAGCGCTTTGAGATGTCTCAACGACGTGATAAAACTCTCTATCAAAATATAAGGATTATTATGTATACCCTCTGCGTGTGTCATGCTACAGACACCAGTAGCGAGAATGCCTGTTTGGGGTCCCCAAGCCTCAACTCCTACCAATCTCTGTCTAGTACTTTCTAATACAACAAAAATATTTCAAATGACTCCTTCTGTGTCATACCTGGTTCCGAAGGTGACCCTCCAGGGAGTCAGTGTGCACACCATTCCAGACAAAGGAAAATTTCAACACATACAGTATGTGGAACTCTGACTTGTTTGCATGCTTGAATAATTAATAATAATCCTTGTATTTGATATAACGCTTTTCACATCTTCTCGACGTCTCAAAGCTCTTCACAGAATATACTGCAAAGTGAACTGACTGTATATTTCTGGGTGAAAAACAGCAGCCAATTGTAAACAGCAGTGTTCCACAAACAGTCGAGAATTGAGTGACCAAATTCTTATTTTTTTATTGTTCGGTTCCTACAGTAAGTAGGAACCCGGTTGGCAGTCGATTGGCGGATCACGTTTCCGGGGGTGATAATCCCTTCTTAAAAAAATAATTTGGTCACTCAATCCACGACTATTTGTGGGACAAAGCTGTGCGCAAATGGCTGCTGTGTTTCGCCCACAAAATACACAATCAATTCACTTTACAGAAAATTCTGTGAAGCGCTTTGAGACGTCTCACTGACATGATAAGGTCCTATATCAAATGCAAGGAATATTATTGATTCTATCAGATTTTATACAACTTATATAAGTTTGTCCCAACTGATACAACTTTTGTGAGTTTCACTGCAGTTAGCAAACAAGCAAATGGGGAGTTTAGGAGAATTTTTTTTATACACAGAGTAGTTAGGATGTGGAATGCTCTGCAGGGAGCGGTGGTTGAGGCAGAATCCATATTAGCTTTCAAAAGGGAACTAGATACGTTTCGCCACAAAGCCATTACAGCATATTCTGTGAAGCAGTTTGAGATGTCTCAACGACGTGATAAGGCGTGATATCAACTGCAAGGTTTATTATGGGTAAATACCTAAAAAAAAGAGTTAATTGCATGGGTGTGGGAAAAGGATAGATAAGATTGAAAGGATTGTGCTTAAAAGAGCCAGCAAGACCCGATAGGCCAAATGCCCTTCTGCTGGGCTGTAAATTTCTATGGTTCTGTGTATCTGGCACCCGGCTGACCAAAAAAAAACTCCACAGCACCCATTTTGTCCACTGGAGTTTTGACTCACCCGAGCTGCCTAAACCTATTCTTTTCTACTCCCCTTCATTCATCCACCTCCTTTTTGAACAATTAATTACTTGATCTGTAAATGCATTCAGAAGAAACTATATATTGTATGTATATTGTTTTAGATACCTAGGGAAGTTCAATTTATAACATTTCAACGCTGAAAGTACAGGTGAAATAACCTGCTTACATTTCCACCACCTGGATCTCAACCCACTGTACTAATATACACTATACTAATATTTGGCAGATTAAGATTGTTATGGGTGTTTTTAATTTTTTGTCTTAGAACTTGAAATTTAAGTCATTTTTTCAGAGTAACCCAAAGTAAAGTTGATAAGGCATCAACAGTTTTCTGCTAGTTCACCAACATTTTTTTGAGGCAATGGGAATGTGGATTAGATCAAAGGGTTTCTGTTCTCTTATCAGGATTTTGGTATCGTCCTTCTCAGAAGAGCAGCTCAATCGCTACGAGATGTATCGGCGCTCAGCTTTCCCCAAAGCTGCTATTAAAAGGGTGAGTGAACGTTTGGGTCAGTCTCCTTGGCCAAAGTTGTCTTTGATGATTAGAATATTCTTAAGTAATTGCGACGCAGCACAAAGTGACCTGTAATTTGGTACAAATCTGCAATCTCGTCTTGAATAACGAGTTGGGAATTCGCAACGTCGCATCAATTCAGTGATCTTGAGATTGGAGCTCAACCTATTTTAGGCTCAATGCTGGGCACAAATTGGCTGTTAGTGGTGCTCTTGCCTCTGGGTTAGAAGATTGTCGGTCCAAGCCCTACCTATGTTGGGAATTTTCCAGTCGTATCTTTAAATGCTAATAATCTACTACCCTCCTAAATCACCTGGCACTTCTCACTGAAATCTCTCCATTCTGTTTTTGTACCAAACACCTAATCATTATGGATGATTTAACCTTCACTTTAATTCTTCAACCTTTATCCATGACTTGGTCTTGACAAGGTGTTGATATCTCCAAACTCGCCATCTCTGATCACTTCCTATATCCCCCTCTCCCCCACTAAACACTTCACCATCTTTCCATCTCTGGAGAAAACTTCATCCTCATTCCCTCTCATCCTCTTGCTTTGGATACCCCTCTCCCTCACTTGGTATTCAACCCTCCCATTTGCAGTGCTCCAAGACACTATCCTGCGTAAAAAGCGCGATATAAACAAATTATTGTTTGGTCTGCCACCATCCTGACTTCGGAGCAATCAGCAACTTGCTGATTCTGCTTCACCTTCAGCACATTTCTCTCCCTCCGAAATCCAGAACTATCTCCAGTTCTTTTCATTCCTCTGCTCTCCAGCAGCAACCTCCGCTCCCTTGATTCCGTGCACTCAGTCAGAGATGACATCGAACCGACATCACAATCCATCTTCAACTCTGGCTGTGCCACTTCAAAAATGACCTCTCCCTCACCAAGACAATTTCTCGATTCTTTCAATTCTATGGGTTGAATGGCCTTCTATTTCCCTCTGTTCATAACAAGGCAGCCAATTTGTGCACAGCATTGTCCCACAAACAGTCCTGAAGTGAATGAACAATTTTTATTTGAGGGATTGTTGGCCAGAACACCGGGAGAAATTGCCTTCCCCTTTCTGATAGCGCCCTGGGATCTTTAACATCCACCTGAATGGGCAGACCAAACAGAAATACACTAAAGTGTCATTGAGTTAAAGGTCCTGATGTGGAGTTTGAACCCACAGTAATCATAATCAAAGCACATTTGATATAGTGCCTTATCACGTTTTTGAGTTGTCTCAAAATGCTTCACAGAATATAAAGTGGAGTGACTGTATATTTTGTGGGAGAAATGTGGCAGCCAATGCGCACAGTAGCATTCTTTGAGCCAAGTTGACCACCTGAACAGGCAGATGTGATCTTGATTCAACACCTCCAACAATGCTCCACTGGCTCTGGCTACCAGCGAATTGACTTCAATCTCACCTACACGTGGAGTCCTGTAGTGAGGTGGGAGCACTCGCCTCGCAAGCGAGAGGACCGGGTTTGATTCCCGGGCAGGGAACTTTAGGCAAGTTTCCTTACTCCACACGCCTCTTGATTACCTAGCAGTAAGTAGGAACCTGTTTTTTAGTCGATTGGTGGATCGCTTTTCTGGGGTAATAATCCCCATTTTGAATAATCCCTTCAAAACAAAAATAACAGTAATTTGATCACTTAATCCATGACTGTTTATGGGACACTGCTGTGCACAATTGGCTGCCGCGTTCTGCCCGCAAAATACAGTCCATTCTCTTTACAGTGTATTCTGTGAAGCGCTTTGAGACGTCTTGAAGACGCAACTAGGCGCTACGTCAAATGCAAGGATTATTACTATTATTCATGTCTCACCTCGCCCTACTTTTGTGATCTTCTCCAGCCTCATTCTCCTCACCCATTTCTGTACCGCCCACCAATCCCCCCCCTCCTCCCACCCTTGATCAGCAGCGAAGCCTTTAGCCATTATGCCACTCCACCATTATCATCTGGAAAACAACTCCTCTGCCTCAGGATTGTTCTTCTGTTGAACTGTTAAGATAGAGGTTTCAATTTCCTTTTCATGTTAACATTAAAATTCTTGTAACACTATTCAAAAAGAAGGATTTTCCCAGTGTCCTGGCCAACAATCCTCCAAATAGTTAGTCATTCACATCATGTCTGTTTGCAGAACATTGCTGTGTGAAAATTGGTTGCTACGTTAGGAACAAAGGAATAAGGCTCTGTATCAAATCCAAGCATTATTATTGTTATTATTGGTACAGGAGGAGGCCATTCAGTCCATTGAACCTATTCCAATTTATTTATTAGATTTGGGCAGATCTTTTAATCCAAATGCCCTCCCTTTCACTCGCTATACTCACTACCAAGTCTCTTCCAATTTCTCTTTTAAAAGTCACAGTTGATTCCTCCTCTACAGCCTTCTGGGGCATAGTGTTCCACATTTTTACAGCTCTCTAATTGTTGTTGAGTTCCCATTTTAAGTTTGACTACAAGTACACACAAGTCCTGTGAAGCGCTTTGAGACATTCTGACTTGATAGTTGCTGTATCAAAACTAGTATTATTTATTAACTTGGATTATTGAAGCGCTAGGGACACTACCCTGCGTGAGCAGCGCTATATAAATGCAAGTGGTTGTTTATAGTGGACGGAACTTTGTGCCGAGTATGAGAGTCACTTACATAGTCTGTGTTCTGGTCTCTTTCAGCTGATGCAGTCAATCACTGGTTGCTCAGTGTCTCAGAATGTAGTGATTGCCATGTCTGGTATTTCCAAGGTCTTTGTGGGTGAAGTGATGGAAGAAGGTGAGTTTAAGCAGTGCAGTTTTTTAAAGAGCCATTTGTAATACAGTATCGGCTCAAAGCAGAGGTGGAAAGGTGAGACCCACAGTTAGGTATTTGGAGGATTTAATTGACTTCATGTAAGTTTGAAAACCTGTTAGTTCAATGATAAAAGCCAGTGTAAATAAACTGAAATAAATGTTATATGATTTATGCAGTGTTTAGCGGTGTTGTATAAGAAGCAAGCATGAATTTTGCATTTAGAATGAAAGCTTAATGATGCGGGTGCGATATTAAACCTAAACAAATTATCAGTACCTTGTCAGAATTTTAAGAATAAATCTCTTTGAATACATGTGTTTTTCCAAACAAAGCATAATTTCTTCAAGTTCAAACATTGAATGTAAGTTATTGAAGAGCCTTCCATTGCTTGCACTGTAACGAATAACTATGGAGTGAGCTGTGCTTCAATTTCTAACCATGCTTGGTTATCTATTGTTTTTCTTTCAGAGATCATTGGGTTTGGTCAGGTAAATGTTTAGTCAGCTAAATGTGACTGTTTTATGAACAGACGACTGAATATTTAAGAAATGATTGTCTCAAGGGGCAGAAAAGAGGACTTTCCCTCTTCCCAGCTTTGCTAAGAAAAGTTCTAAGTTGCCATTCTTCATATCTGAGTCTAGGCTGACAGGCTGGTTGTTGGGTGTCTTGGGTAATAGTCCTGATGTCACCAACGTCTAAACGTGATCGAAGTCTGGTTTAGGTCATTGATTGTTTTTAGTATAACATTGGATTGACAAGCAATAGATACGTGTTTGAGCATTTTAACATGTTGGTAAATCCCTTCATAGAAATTGGCAGCTTTAGTGTACTTGGTGTCTTCAGCATCTAGCTTATTAGTTATCAACCTTCAATGGGCTGGAGGTTCATTGGTTACAACCTGTTTTTTTGTTGAACTCAAGCCCTCGCTTTTTCCTATTAACTGATTCACATTTCCTTTATAGCTCTGGACGTCTGTGAGAAATGGGGAGAAACGCCACCTTTGCAACCCAAACACATGCGCGAGGCAGTGAGAAGATTAAAACTCCGTGGACAGATCGCAAATACAAAATATAAAAAAGTCTTGTTCCATTGACAAGAGACTGGCCCAGCATAGGCCAGATACAACTGACCCTCCATTGTGAGTGAGCCTTCACTGTGAAACCTACATTCTGCGACGTGGGTAAATCGGCCATTGTTTCTTTTAAGAGGATTGAAGTCTAGGTCCTGACCTTGATCGCTTTCTGACGATGGGTTGGGAAAGCAGGCTAATGGAAAAGGGGCTAAAGTTATATTCAGCCATGGAGCTCAATCTATTCAATCTGAATGAGTGAGTGCTCCTGTGTCATGTCAAGAGAAACAGCCCCAATTTTATTTTTGCCTTTTCCTGTTTGCAAACAAGACCCAAGATCTGTGGCTTGGTCCCGGCTCCTCACACCAAGTGCTGTGATAAACTTCTGTGTTGAGCGCAATTTCACAAATAATGGAAGACTACTCAACCAACTCGTCAATGAAACCTGGAGACTTGTAATGGTAGACAGCAGCTGTAAGTATGAGCAGTGCTGTCCTGTTTTCTGGCACACGATATCCATTTATAACTGATCTCAGTGGTAAAGAAGTTAATTTGCTGTGGAGGAGGAATAGAATAGATTTATCGCACGTTTGTTACATAAACATGGAGAGCATCATGAATCTGATTTTCCAGATTTTAATACCGTGTATATCATAGCTTTTTAAGCACAATGCAAACTTGGAGAATGTTGCACACAATGTTTGTGCGCGTGTAAGAACTGTCTGATAAAATGTAATGCCATTTTGTCTCAATTAAAAATAAATTGCCACAAACAGATTTCAGGCTACCTGCAGGGTTAGGATATCGGTGTGAACAACTGAGGCAGATCTGAACAATTGTTAGCACTCAAGATAGTTTGAGTGGAAATAAAGAACGAAGTTTGGGTTATTTAATAAACTACAAGTCTTTCTGAAATGGTTCAGTTATGGGAGAAAGCTTTCACTAGGCTGATTCTTCCAATTCATATTGCAATATCCATAGGTAAGGGATGGGAGGAAATTGTGCTGAAATTTTTCAATATCTCACAGCTCCATGTGACAGGATACTATTGGCAGGCTATATTCAGTAAGATGATGTGACTTACAGCCTAAGGATCTGATGTTCTGTCCCTTTCCTCTGGTGCTGATGATGACTTCTCACCATCTCAGTGACTGTTAAGCAAAGCCCTGGTTTGCCAAGATAAAAAGATACGTTAACCAGTACTCTAAAAGTACCTTGCAGAAATTATAGAAAACCACGGGCATTAAAACATTGATGTCACTGAACTTTTAATCAAATGAGAGACCTGAGTTCAATTCCAGGCAGAGGGCGAAACCTTGGGCAAGTTTCCTTACTCCACACAGAGCCTAATAATAATCCCTCCAAAACCAAAAACTATAATAAATTGGTCATTTTCAATTTACGACTGTTTGTGGGACATTGCTGTGCGCAATTGGCTGCCGCGTTCGCCCACAAATATACAGTCAATTCACTTTACAGTGTGTTCTGTGAAGCGCTTTGGGACGTCCTCCCAACGTGAAAAGCGCTATATCAAATGCAAGGATTATTATATTATTATTATTATCTCTAGGCCTCGCGGCTGAGCACATTATTGCTGCAATGTTCTGCTGTTTGAGTGATCAGGTGGTATATTTTGCAGTAAATACCAATGACTCAAATCTTTTGATGATGAAAATTTATTCCCCCAAAAACCTTAACTTACAGTATTGGTTCACAGAACCCATTATCAACCTGTACAGGAGTTTCTAAAACAAACGTGGAACTGTGAAAATATCGTGCAGCAGGATTTCAGCATGAAAGGTTAGAGTGTTCATCTTCAATCATCACTTGCAAACATATTATTTTTAAACAAACTCATTGTTTTTGTCATGTATTTCATATCTGCAATTGCACAAAATAACTAGCACCGTTTTATTGTACGGCAGCAATAAAACTTCGGTGAATTTGTACCTCATTCAAAAATAATCCACAGCTCAACCATATTCCTCAAATATACTTACCAACTGCTCGGTGACTCCATATGCAGATTTGATAACTACCTTTTACTTTCATGAGAAAGCTTCATGGTCCTCACACAAAATGTTTACAGATCCACACACAACAACAGCCTAGATATGTGACTGGTTTATTTAAGAGGCAGATGTCAAATGACCAACTGGTGACTTTCCTCCTTGGGGAGAGGTCAGCGGGGCTTCCTTTGAGCTGAACTTGCTCCAAGGTGAGAGAGTTTGGCAACGGAACTTCAGAATCAAGCCAACTCCTCTGTTGCATTCTCTGTAGTCCAGTTCCTGACCCAGGCAGAACTGCACTATTCCAGGGCACTGCTGATGACAGCCTAACTAACGTGTCTTGTTCATCAGCAGGACATGGAAGGGCAGATCATTCCAGGGGCAGGAACTCTTCCCACTAACCCTCAAACTAATGCCCCAACCGATAGGGTGGTCATAGCTGGGCAAGCGTTGGGAAAGCTTGCGAGTCAGTGCTGTCAATGGCAAGCTATGCAGTTTTAGCTGGTTAGACCAGCAGTTACCACACTCTGGTCCCCAAGCCTAATACTCTCCAGAATTAGGTAATTAAGAATGTATCCCTCCAGAGACAGAATGTGCATTCCATTCCAATAAATATCTCTGGAATTTCCATGTATAGGCAGGATGCATCGAGCTCTCAGGCATCCAGCTGACCCAAACAATTGGTTATTTTCATAGCCCAACTTGTAGTGACTTGCTGGGCTGCTACACTGCAGGTTGGTACAGTGTTCTTTGAAGGAGTTGTAGGTTTACAATAATAAATATGACCTTCAAAATACGGTTTAATCCTCCCTTTCTAGCATCTGCACATTAAGTCCGAGTCACAAATGTCTTGCCCGCCTGCAGTCTCTGGTTGACCGATTTAAACCATCAATATGTGTAGGCTTTTAAGGCTGGAAATTCCATCAAGTCTTCAGCTGTCAGACTTAAAACTTTTCAGTTGTCGTAAAATTTAAGATCAATTAGAATTGATCAATATGTCAAAATTCTTAAATTTAGTCTTAATTTGGAAACTGGTTTCTTTTTAAGATTTGAAACAAGCAGCTTCCAAATTACAATTGGATTAAATTTTTTCTGATAATTCTGAGCAATCTTAAATCTTACAACAAAATGGTTTAAAAAGCTGAAGACAAGGTGGAGTTTTGGGCCATTGGTATCTCAAAAAAGCCACAGACTATAAACACAGAGCCTCCTCCACTCTCCCTCTCGGTTTGACTTTGCATCGTTTCAGTCTGCTCATTAATGTGCGTGGTTTAGAATATTCAGCACCTGCCCCGTGTGCTGTGTACTTTGGGGCTTTGATGTCAAACATGTGTCTGCAATGCATTTCATGGAGAGAGCACTGATGTAAGTTGATCGTTCTTTGATCGATCTTCAAGACATTTACTTGGAAGGAACAAGCAGGAAGGCAATGAACTGAGCATTGAGTGTTTGTGCATTCGAGTTTGTGAATTAATGTTCAGTAACTGTTCTGATATAAAATACTCACCGGATACATTCGCAGCAGCAACTTGTATGACTAATCATACCAGAGGCAGAGGAGTGCCTTGACCTAATGTAATTAGATAGAAATGAGGAGTTCCAGAAGCGCTCTTTGGAACAGATTCTTTCTCTCCAACAATTGTAACAGTTTTAAAGACTGATTTAGCTTACTGGCCCAATCAACAGCCTCTGGGTTAAACAGTGACCCATTTCTATCTTATAGATTCATTCTGAACATTCAACAAGAGAACGGAACGCTTGCACAGTATTAAAACATGAAAACACCAGTGTTGCTGATATTATAATACACAATATAAATATTTCTGGGTTCAACAGTGACAAAATCCTTCTTTACTGCTCAGATCCCATAGCCATTGTGTGACACCTTTTCGCAGCTGGTTACACTAGTGATAAACTGATATGAAAGAAACTCTTATTGATGCTTCCACAGCATTCTGCCCTTAAGTGACCAGCACTGTTATGATGTTGGTCTCAGCTAAGGCAGGGATCACATTTTTATACACATCTCCACCTTTTTATTGGGTTTATATTTTATATTTATTCCAGGTAACAAACCACACAAACCCTGAGGCCATTTTCACTCAGAAATAGGGAAATCGCTAATATTGTGGCTACCTTCTCCAAACTATAATGATAGCAGGATAGGATGCTGAGTTATAACCAGCCAAGGAATCATTTAAAAAATATTAATGGTTTTGTACTATTTAGAAAATATGAATTTTGGAATTTCTCATATTAAGTCTTTTTAAGTCTGTACAAAGATTTAAGCTTTTAGTTTGGTTAAATTTGAATACAATCAATAAACTCATACAATCGCCCTGTCAGTATCTACACACAATATCTACCAAACTACTTTAGCTGTTGGGGAATATGTGCCCTTAAATAACACAGTGCAGAGCAATCAAGTGAGTGAAGCATTGCACAATGACTTATAGAAAATGGAACCATTCTGGGTTACCAAGTGCAATTCTTATTATATGGAGAGGAACTGCGTGGGTCAGAGTTTTAACATCCTTGATCTGCTAAAACAATTCTACTTTTGTGCACAGAGCATTATGTCTTTTAAGCAGTATTTGGTTACAAAGGGAGAAATTTCTGATTTACAAAGATATTGATGGATTTAGTGTGTGTGTGTACACGCACAAAGCACACTGGTGAGCAGCAATGCAGCTTAAAAGTGGTCATCAAGTGGCAAGTTCACCTTGCACTGAACCCCAGGTAACTGCTGCACTAATCGAGAACTTCTGTATAAGGATTTAGGATTAAGGGCAGCACAGGGAGTGGAATTGTGCCTCATTCTCCCCAGGTGTTGTGAGGAAGATCTGAGCTACAGGAAAAGTGAAAAACAGGACAAGTCTCTCCAGGTTCAGAGCAGTAAATCAGCTCCTTGGACGTCTTCCTGACATGAAAAGCGCCCTACAAATGTAATTTTGTATTGTAAGCAGCTTAGCTCCTCTCACCCACCCCGAGACAAGACAGAATACATGCTAGCTCAGGATACAAATACTTCATTGACTAAAAACAAAACTGAAAGCATAAAAATGATTGTGATTGGTAGAGAATTGAAGCAAAGAGTGACCTGATGATTATGCGCTTCATTTGTCCATGAAAAATGGAAAAGTTAAATTTAACTTTGAGAGTTTGGTGGAGGAGAGGGGAACGAGTAGAATTCAGTTTCTGAACTCCATTCTATTATTTCTTCCTCTTCACTCCACCACATCTCAGTTTAACATCTGAAGTATAGCACCTCAAACAATGCAACTCTCCGCTAGCACAGCACTGAAATATTTTGTGACTTTAAAGCCCAATGTGAGGTTTGAAACCACAATCTTCTGACTCGAGTCCTATCAATTGAGCAGCCTGACATCTGGCAAATGTCACTTAAAACATAATATGACACAATTGAGTTAGAATTAAGCCCTGTTTTGAGATCTGATCCATACAGACTGGCTGGTTAGAGCCCTAATCCAGAATGAGAAAAAACAATACAAGTTTATTCAAAGGAAGCAGTCAAATTCGGAGGTGACCTTTCACAAATATGTATTTCTAGTACAATTATTAGAGGTGAATTTTCAGACATTTTTGGAGAAAGAGTTGCCACTGAGACAAGTCTTCAAAGCAGAGGTGCAAAATCTCCGCTCAAGATCCTGAATCGAACAACACATTGATCCATTATTCAGACTCAAAGCTCTTCCTATCAGAAACCAAAAGAGAGAATTACAAGAACACAACCATGGTTCCAATCCACTTCTGGGATTATCAAACATGTCTGAAACATCCTGGAGATGAAACAGAAACCGTACAAGCCTCAGCAAAGCAGCTATGCATAGTTTATCCAATAAGCCACGGGCACTATGGAAAGAGTTTCCACCAATGGAAATAGTTGAAAACCTAAGATGTTTATGTAATCATTTGGTTAGTGTGTTTTTTAAAACACAAAACAATTTTATTTCAGCAGTCTGAATCGGGCAAGTTACTAACAGTTGAAGTCCACCGGCAGAAAATCATCATTTAAAAACACTACCAACGTCTCTGCACCTAACAGTGACGTCTTAACAAAGTTACAAAGAGAATTCTTTCCTCAATTTTCATTTATCTCAATTATTTAACACTTGAGAATGTAACAATAACCACACTTTCACCCCCTCTTAGCTTTAGCATAAAAAAGGCAATTTTCAAAGGACTAGTAAGCAATGCAGGACATCAGTGACTATTCTCTAGAGTTAAAGGTGCCAGGATCAGCCAAATTAGCTGGCTGGGTGAAGTTTCATTCAACGAAAAAAAATGACAGAGTTGTGCTGTTCTGAGTCTTATGCAGGGAGCAGCATTGAGGAAGGGAAAACGCAATTGGTTAAACACTGCTCCACACAGTTACGACAGTCCTGCACTCTGTGGTACTGTATTTCACCACAACCAAGAGGGAAGCTCAGCATCTCATGCAAATAAGAACTCAATTTCCAACCACAAGCCTCAGCTGAAGGCCCACGTGAGTCTGAAGGCTTCACTTGCCTCCTGCTGGGAGAGTTAGTGACAATGAGCTGGAGAGGTGCACCAGAGAGACAGAGCATCGCAGGAGCTGAAACCAGGCTTCTGGCCGTCTTGCCCTTTCTGATTAACAAGGTATAAGGCAAAAAGCTGCCCTCCAATACATGCAATGTTTGAAATTTCATTACACAGCACATTTAATCCTGTGTTCTTCAATGGTTGAAACGGATAGAAGCCTCTTGGAGGTGGGAAGGACAGAGACAAGACAAGATGCAGGAGAATTTTACACAAAAAGTAGCAAGGGGTGGGTGCGGGGCGAATAAAATGAAATCACATAATCAAGTGTAAATTGGCTGTGATACTGCACTTGCAAATGACACCGCACAGGACAGTTTGATGTGGGTTCCAATCTAATACGCTACTGACGTCTAAGTTGACACGGATGTGGTGTACTGCAAGCTTTTAATCTCAAACCTTTGGCACAAACCCATTCTGTCCTTCAACACAGGGGAAGGGGTAGTGAAACCAACACCCAGGGAAAATATAAAAGTTAATAACAATTGTAAGGATTTTTAAAATTAACCTTCTAACCGCCCAGCTCCTTCAGGGATTGGCAAATTGCAATGTTAATCTCCTGGTGCCCAGTGCTGTGTGGGGGAAGACTGAAAGATCTGTGTGCAGCAATCTGTGTGGTTGGGATTCTTAGAGTTAAAAACTGAGCCAATGAAAGACCTTTCTTTTTATATCCTTAAATCCCAATCCACTGCACTATGCAGCTTTAATTTGTAACATGTCCCATTTTGCACAGAGATTAGTTTTAGATGAAATGTCTATGTAAAAATATTAACACATTTGTCTGCAGCTACCTTACTTACTGGTACATTCTGCTACTGAGAACACTGCAGCCAGTGACTGAAAGTGACCTCAAAATGTGTTCGCCTTTTCCTGTCTCCAATAAGAATGTACAAAAGGAAATGCTCCAAAAATAGTTAGTGCTTTGGTGTCATTTCTGCACTTCCGTCAATCTTCACATAATAATAATCCTTACAATTAATATAACGCTTTATCACATATTCGAGACGTCTCAAAACGCTTCACAAATTATACAGTAAAGTGAATTGACTTGTGTATATTGATTGTGAACGAAACGCAGCAGCCAATAGCTGCTGGTGTAAAAATTGCTCTTCCCCAACCACTTGGGATGAGCTGATGAAAAAATAATCACTCTGAATGACCCAATCAATGCATTTGAGTAAGGCGACAACATACTGCTGGTTAATTTCTGATACAAGTGCATCTTCAGTGAGCAAATGTGGACACTGTGCCTTTGACAAGCTGATAATTGCCGATATGAGCACCATCTAGTGGCTTTCCTAGTCTATTATTCATCAGCAGGCAATGGATCGAAAACCAATTAATTCATACATTGCTTTAAGTTAGATGAAATACATTATCATAAGTTAATAACTATCTTTACAAAATTCCTGACCAACAGTTTGAAAGAAGCTTAATGTATCTTAAACATGACCATATCTAATGACAGCACCTACAGCAGCCAGGAAGGTCTGGCTGGAGAAATACACTCTGTGCTGTGAGGCATCTTTAAGCAGATGAAGTCCGATTGCACCCAAGAGTATTCTGATAGGTGAGGGCAGCAGGAGTGGGCAGTTCCAAGTACCATTTCCATTACATAATGGGATTTATCTCTTACCTACGAAGAGAGCAGTCTTTTGGCTAGTTTACCATGGCAACAAAATCGAATATGCACACAGATGAGGCTCAGAACAGCCTATGTAACTGTATTACATTTAAAGATGGAAACTTGACAACAGTTCCATGAATCAGAAGCTTTAGTATTCTGACTGACTTTGCAAAATAGGTAAAAATTGCACTCTGCCTGAAAATAGTGAAGGAATCCTGGAATATTTTTACGTTTTAATCTCCAGCTATGGGGGAAGGGGGCTGTGGGTTATGCACTAGCAGAATACCACTTCTTCTGGTGACCACTGAATGTTGGAGACTTTGACAATCTATCCAAAGGCAGGCTATTGACAATAGTTGGGTTTCACTCAGTTTTCCATCGGAATGGCTCCGATTCCTAACATGAAGCACAATGGCATCTGGAGAAACTGAGGGGTTTAAACTCAATCCAGCAAAAGCTAGATTGGAATCAGATCAATTTTAGTGCCAAGTACTAATGTTGGAAAGGCCTGTAAACATTAACAGAAGGGTATTAAGTCTGCATTGTTCACTTCTGAATGCTCTGGACTTTTGTGAATTGCAGGCAAGCACAGCATCCTGGAGCTCATTACCACACTGCAGCCCTCACCCTGTGAGAATCTGGAAAGGATGACAGAGCACATCAACACAGGCAGCTCCTCGTGAGTGAATAACACAGAGAAATAGTAATTTAACATTCACGAACAAGGCCTTCCAATTTTTTTTAAAAAAGTGCTTTGATGAAGGCAGACCTTACAACCGCTGACATCCAGGAAGTGAGACACACCTGCATATAAGGCCTGTTGCCATTTTGGTTACAACCCATCAGTCCCACAAGTGTAAGAATCACTCCGCAATATTTGGGCAGACACAAAATGGGAAAAGGTGTGGGGGAAAATACACCAGCCCTTACAGTGCTGATCATATCGCTCTTCTGTTTGGGATTGAGGTCACAAATTTACATGGTGCTCTTACCATTCAACTGGTCTTACTGTGCAAAGGGGAGCGAATGAGCCCAGTGTCACTCTGTGTATTCTCCCCAGTAAATGAATGTTCCTGGCCATATGTCATTATAAAGTGTCCACTTCAGCTTTCACACAGCCCCATCTTCCCCTGCTTGCAGCAACTCAATTGGCTTCAGTTGCCATCTCTTGCTCAGAGCCGAGTCTCCACCTCTGCAGTCGCTCTTCCCTCCCATCACTGATGCTGAATGTGCTGATTGGCGTCCGCACTCTCTGTGTACTTGGCAAAATCAAACTCCAATGTCCGCGGTATGAAACAAGATTCCTTCCGAGTGGTTTCAAAGTGCTGAACTTGGAGCTGGAGTTGCCTTCTGTCTGTAGGTATCGGGACATTCTTGCGGACTAGAGACGAGTGCTGAACGGATACTAGAAAAAATAGTCACTAAGTCAGGGATATCCTAAACGAGTATTAGTGTTGCTGTTGGCAGTGTTAACTCTGTGCTAGTCTGGAGTGACCATCAGAGGTCAAATTCAGGGTTCAGTTTCCTTATCTCCTGGAGCAGTCTGTCTCTGTCGTGGTTTGCCTTGGTTAGAGCTGCTTTCGTGCTGGCGAGTTCCTGTCTCAGGAGATCATTCTGCACAAAGCATTTGAAAGAGAGAAGAAATACTTATCGTTATTCTCTTCATTCAAACACCAGGGAACAGGCATGAGGCTCCTGCAAGCATTTAATGTACCACTTCAGGAAAGAAATCATACTGGATCAATTGGAACAATTCAAATCAGCTTTAATAACCTCATAACAGCCCCAGTGCACAAAGGCCACATTGATCTCGCCTATTGCCTGGATTTTCACTTTAAACCCTTTCCACCCCGTGGCCAATGCTTTTTGTTTCAGACCTTTTTTCAACTGATTTTTTTCACCTCCCTTCCCCCCACCACCCACACACATCTGTGAAGTACTTAGAGACGTCCTCCTGACACAAAAGGAGCTGTAGAAATGTACAATTGATTTTTATTCTTTAAGATCAATAGGCATCTATGCACATTTCAGTACCTGTGACAGGGTAGAACCTGTCCTATCTTAAATCACGAAGCAGGAGAGTACGTTTTATTATTCTGTGAGGGTTTATTTGGAATCAACAATGTGAGATTGTGTTCATGATTTCTCCACACAGCTCCTCATGTTGGATACACCTTCGAGGCCAGGTGTTTTAACACAGGGAAAGCAAAGACAGACAGAGCAAATTACTACAGCTCACTAAATGTCTGTGCCAATTTGTTTTTGGTCAGCCGGATGTCTGACAGAAACCCATCACCATGCTTAAGATTTTCCAAACCAAACTGAGAATTCAATGCATCCACCCACACCATGGAAATTACAGAGAATTTGCCAATAGTGCTCGAAGTGTGAGTGACGTGTGTCTAATCTGTGTAACCACAACTCATTATAAAGCAGTTGTAATTTTCAAAGTATTTGTCCAACTCAGACCAACCAACTCTCTACGGTAGAAACAGAAGTCGCAAGTTTTCTTACTGCACGCGCCTGTTTATCGAGCAGTAAGTAGGAACCCAATTGGTAGTCGATTAGCAGATCACTTTTCCAAGGTTAATAATCCCTTCAAAATAAATAAATAATAATAATTTGGTCACTTAATCCATGACTGTTTGTGGGACACTTCTGTGCGCAAGTGGCTGCCGCGTTTCACCCACAAAATATGCAGTCAATTCACTTTGCAGTATATTCTGTGAAGCGCTTTGAGACATCTCAAAGACGTGATAGGGCGTTACATCAAATCCAAGGATTATTATTTTTATTATTAACACTCAGCAGGTCAGCAGCATCCATGGAGAAAGGAAAATGGGTTTAAATTTCAGGTCGATGACTTTTGGTCAGTTCTGACAAAAGGTCATCAACCTGAAATGTTAACTCACTTTGCTCTCTCTATAGATGCTGCCTGACCTGCTGAATGTTCCCAGCGACTTCTGTTTTTATTTCAGATTTCTAGCATCTGCAGTATTTTGCCTTTTGCTTTTTGTAAACCCATTGGGGCTTTGGCTCACAGGGTCCTGACCATATCTACACCTTCAAGTCTTGATGATGGACCAGACAAGCTGGCCAACAAGTAACAGTGTCTTGGGATTTCCAGCATTGCTTTGCTGAGAGCGATTCCTCAGTTTAACCCCAAGGAAACCTCAGGCTCCTCTCCCAGGTTAGGTAGAATTCTCACACTCACCATCTCCTTGCTGACAGTAGAGGCCAAGTCTGATGGCAGCCTTCCCCCAATCAAAGCTGAGGGTTTCCCAGTCTCTGGAGATTCCTCTCCCCTCTTATCCGACCCCATCCTAACCAAATGGTTTTTCAGTGGCATTAGATTGTCTTTGTTCTGTGAGTCAACTGCAGGAAGAGAAGCAGGAATACCCAACAGTTCAGGACAGGTAAGAGCATAAATAAAAAAATCAGCATAACTCGCATTTATATTGCAACCTTCACATTGGAAAAATAATAATTTAATAAAAATTTAATACAAATTCCACGTGCTTGTGCTTTTTTGATATTCCAGGCTACACAAGGACATTCCCCTCATCCTCGCCAGGCTCCATTGCCTCACTTTTCCCTGTGGATTGACTTTTAAGATTGCTCTAAATTTCAAATACCTCCATTACTTTGCCCCACTCTATTCCGTGATCTCCTGCAATCAATTCCTTGCCACTTCCTCCGCTCAGGCAATTCAGGCCTGCTTCAAACCCACCATCTCTACCAGCCTTCTGCCACCTTGCTCTCTCTCTCTCTCTCTAAATTTCTCAGCCATGTATCCCCCTCTCCTTTCCAAACGCATGTAATAACCTACCTCTTTGACTGTGCCTTCTATCATCACTGCCCACCTCCCCCCAAACTGACAGTTAGCTTCACTTACCCTTCATACAAAATGTCCCATCATCGATCCGCTGAATCACCAGATGATCAATATCCAGGCGTATAGGTATAGGCCCAGGGCTCGTAGGGTACAATGGGGGTCCGTCATCCTTTAAACAAATTCAGCACAAAAAAAGTTTGACAGACTCACCACCCTAACTGCAGTTCTGATGTAAAGGAAGAAGCGATTAATAAGAACATAAGAACATAAGAATTAGGAGCAGGAGTAGACCATTCGGCCCCTCGAGCCTGCCCCGCCATTCAATAAGATCATGGCTGATCTTCTGACCTAACTCTATCCCCATATCCCTCTATTTTTTAAAAATCTATCAGTCTCAGCCTTGAAAATGTTCAAGGACTGAGGATCTACAGCCTTCTGGGGTAGAAATTCACTACCCTCTGAGTGAAGAAATGTTTCCTCAACTCTGTTCTAAAAAGCTGACCCTTAATTTTAAGACTGTGACCCCTGGTTATAGATTCTCCTATTGGGGGAAACAGTCCCTCAATGTCTACTTTATCAGCCCTTTAAGAATCTTATATGTTTCAATAAGATCTCCCCTAATTCTTCTGTACTCTAGAGAATACAACCCTAGTTTATTCAGCGTATCCTCATAGGTCAGTCCCCTCATCCCAGGAACTAACCGAGTGAATCTACGCTGCACCCCCTCTCGGGCAAGTATGTCCTTTTTTAAATAAGGCGACCAAAACTGCACACAATACTCTCGGTGCGGTCTCACCAAGGCCCTGTACAGTTGCCGCAAGACTTCCCTACTCTTGTACTCTCAACCTTTAGCAATGAACGCTAACATGCCGTTCGCCTTCTTAGTTGCTGCTGCACCTGCAAACTAACTTTTTGAGACTGGTGTACAAGGACACCCAAATCCCTCTGCACACTAACACTATCTAATCTGGTTTATAACACATGGGAAGCTGGATTTAGAGTTGGGGGGGAGAGGGGGCAATGAGATGACTCTTGGGAAACCCTGATGCTAACAACACCCAGAGGAAGTGTTGGTTTCAGGATCCGTGTGAATTACACCCCGTGCAGGGTAATTACACCCAGCCAGTGTCCGTACTCTGTCCAATGCTCTCGGGCAACAAATGGATGGCCCAGGAATCCTCAAAAGACAATTTTTCATTTTACTAAAAGCAGATTAAAAAGTGTAATATTAAATTAGCAAACATCTGGTTTTAGTGTCTGCATATGGCCCAAGGTGTATGTAGGTTGGGAGAGAAGTCAATCAGGCTTCTGTTGGCAGGAAGGAGGTAGCTTCAATCCCAGTTGTATTAATAATACCAATAATAACAATCTTTACATTTGGTACAGCACCTTTCACACCAGGATGCCCCAAACACTGCACAGGATTTACTGTAAAGTGCAGTGACTGTGTGTTTTTGTGGGTATTACTGCAGTATCAGAGGAGAGAACTAAACAAGGGCACAATCACTGACTGATGTCTGGCAAACCCACCCTGTGCTGCGGTACCAAACTAGACACAGCAGAGCGATCCAGTTTGATGCCTGGTCTCTACTGATGTCACAAGGAAGGCAGTTTGGGTTCAAATAATTAGCTTGTTTTGGAGGCGAAATTCACTCCCAATATCTGTAGTGTGACCTTGCGGAAGCAGGGAGACAGGGGGGTGAGGCAGGGAGAGATGTGTCCCCAGATGCTGGACAACACAGGATCCGTTAGACCTAGAAATAATCTAAGAATCGCAATCTAGGTAATAATCCCTTCAAAATTACAATTTTTTTAAAAAAAAGTCCACAACTGTTTGTGGGACACTGCTGTACGCAATTGGCTGCCGCATTTCACCCCCCAAAATACAGTCAATTCACTTTACAGTATATTCCGTGAAGCACTTTGAGAAGTCTCAAAGATGTGATAAGGCCTATATCAAATGCAAAGAGTATTATTATTATTATTATTATGTCCAGTATCATTTCTGGTATAAGCGTTGCTCACTAAAATCATCAACTGCACACGAAGGATGATTCTGCTCATGTTTCTAACATGTCCATGATATTGCTCCCATTGGAAAATATGTTGTGGACAGTACATTGGTGTCAAATGCTTTGTCATGGAACGCCAGTATATGTGAGTGTTGGTGATTGATATTTGCTGGATCATCAAAGGGAGGCAAAACTGTACCAGAAAGCGAGAGAGAGAACAGAGCAGCCAAGTCAGCTTGTGCTGAGGAACAGTACATTACCTGAAACAATGCAGAGAGGAAGAAATCCACCCCAAAGCACTGCAAGGCCAGACTGTGACTGTGCCATGCTATCACTTATAACAATAGCGCTCCTCTTATTTTAAACCAGGCTCTGAAACTCCGAGATTGTTCCCTGGCACAGATCCATTCACTGCTTCACATCACTGCTTCAGTCAAACTGTGGAGTTATTCTGATTCAAAATTAAAAGTGAAAGAGCAATGTGATGCTGGCAATGTCAAATACCTTTAGTGTAATTCTACATTCAGAGAGCTCGATCTTCATTGGAATGACTTCTGGAATCACCTCGTCTTCTAAAAAGGGGCCCAGGTTTGTGAGCGAGGACATCAGGAACTCTACTTCGTAGTCACTGATGTGGAAGTGCAGGAATCCGTTCTTCACGGCCAGTGGAGAGTGCTCAGCCGAGCCGGGGCCACACTCAAAATGAAAGCTCACTGCAGGCTGGGCTCTCTCCGACTCCCCACAGCTCGGCTTCCCATAACCTGAGACCAAGTCACAAACAGTTCAAATGCAAATAAGGAACTTGCACCAGTGAACGACAGAAAGCACTTTGCAGCAATTAGCAGCACTTCTGCATGTGGATAAAGCATGTGGATTCCACATTGGTTACGTGACATGGATCAGCAGCCAGGGCTCCCTTCTCGTTTCCAACAGCTTTAATCATCACTCCGCTAATGATGCCATGGGTTCGCTAACATCCACCTTAAGGACACTGAACCTAAAGAGAAAAGATTTATCCGCATTGAACATTCTCGGTCAATGTGCTGGGGGAATGCTCTCCAGAATGGGGTAAACAGGATGCGTCCCTCCAGGAACAGAGTGTGCAATCCTATCCAGATACAGGGAGATTTTCATACACGTGTGGGACTCTCAGTGTGGTTCAGACAGTCTTAAGTGTATACTGGATACTCAGCTGCCCAAAAGCTGACCAGAGCGGTCCCGGGCAGCTAGGGACCAACAGCTAACTCGTCACATCGGATAATTCATCACCAGGCCCTTGAGTTATCCAGAGTTTACTATATTTATTAAACAATTGTTCTGCAAGTGGTACTCTTGGCTCCAAGCCCTACATCCTGGTTCAGTCCCTGTTTACTTCTAATTTAAACAAACCATTCGTCTCTCTGGCAGAAACATCCTTAAAGATTACTCAAGAAGCTGACTAGCCAGTGATTAACATTAATCAGAAACGTACCAAAGTCAAGCTGAAAATGTACTAACTGTATGGTACTATATGGGATGAAATTACAAAATACAAATTTACATTTACATAGAGATATGTAAATTAGATGCTGAAGGCCAACTCTAGTTCACTTAATGCTGCACAAACCTTTATAAGGAGTATTTTGTTGGGGCTGAATAAAAGCTGCATTATTAGTCGGGATGAAATGGAACTCTGACAAGAAGGGTTTTGAAGACTGCTGCAGGAAGTCTAGTCATTACGCAAACCTGAGTGCAGTGTGTATAACCTTGCTTCTCACCCGTGCTGTGCCTGCTCATGTACTGCTCCACGTCCACATTGCCCAGCTGCTCTGGAATCACCTCCTTAGCTTGAACACCAAAGGACAGGTCATCACCCCTCATATCGATCGCACAATTCACATCTAAAATCTTGAGCACCAACACAGAGGCCTAGCAAACAAGGTAACAGGAAATGTAAGTTTCGACATTGGGAACATGAAACAAGAAGAGCAAGGCCAAGGATCATGGGGACAATATGAGAAATTTCTCTAGTTATTCACTTTATCGAAGTTTCAATAGCGTTCTAACTCACCACTGGTCACAGGCAACAACAACAACAAGATTACATTTGTATAGCGCCTTTCACGTCGGAAGGATGTCCCAAGGCAACTTCTGATCTCATCGGGCAATATCTGAGAGGGCTACCTTTAACTACACTGCTAGCCAGGAACACGCTTACCTATGGACAGCTCAGTCAATAGTACTTTCACCTTTTGGCTCAGAAAGATATGGGTTGAAATCTCACAGTGGGACTTGAGATCACAGTCGAGGCTGTGGTCTGAAGGATGGCATCTCCATTAAAGATCTCCATTAAAGGCACTATTCGAAAAAGAGCAGGGAGTTTTCTCTCTCCTGGTGTCCTGGCTGACAATCCTCCAGATAAAATTGGTCACTCACTCCATGGCTGTCTGTGGGACATTGCTGTGTGCAAATCGGTTGCTGCATTCACCTATAAGTGCTGTGACTTCACTTGATTGCAGGGACACCGGTGATAGAACATTAATCACTTCTACTTTGGTTCTCAAATACTGGATCATAGCAAGCATCCCTTGGTCAATTCGCACCGGGAATACACTTCCCTAAACTCTGATCTAACAACAAGTCTCCCACCATTCTGAGTGCACATTCCCGTGTAAACGTGCAAGATTTCTAGTTCAAATATTAGTGAAGCTTGAGGCTTCTCTGAGAAAACTACTTTGTCAATAGGAATGTGCTTTGAGCTCAGGCTCACTTAGAACTACACAAGGTTTTTCCTAACTTTTTGAATAGAAACCCTTCAAGCTATCAATCTAGGTTGCATTCATACCTAGGGTCAGGCAATGTCCCACACCATTCATTACATCACCTAGCGCAACTTAAATTTTACTAAGATTCAAACTCCGTTAGAATGGGCAGAGGCGAGCAACAAGGATGATTCCTCCCAGGTCTTAGCGGAATACACTATGAGCAAGGATGACACAGGGTGGGGGTCTTCAGAGAAGATGTCTCAGAGGGAATCTTATTTTAAGTGGGATTGAAAAAGTAAACCCAGATCAATATTCGAGGATGTGCCAAGACAGCAAAACGTGAGGACATAGGTTTAGAGGTGTAAACGGCAATTTCAGGACAGATACCAGGAAGTTTGTCTTTACCCAAAAGATAATTAAGGACTGGAACAGGTTGCATGGAAGGGTGGTGGAGGCCAGGGCCTCCACCACCACATTTGAAAAACAGGTACTATGACAGAAGGAGGGTAGGGTGGGTGTTCTGGAAAGATGAGATCAGGTGGTCCTGCTTTATCTGCACTAATCTTCTGACCTTGTGAATTACCTTTGAAGTACTTTGCAAATGTTAAAGAATGGAACTGTGTGTGTGTGAGTGCGTGCAAGTGGGGCAATGAGTGCTGCAAGTGTGTATGTGTAAGTGATTGTGTGGTACAAGTGTATGCAGTGTGGATGAGCCCCTAATCTGTGAAGCTCTTTGGGACGTCTCGATAACATGATAAGGCACTATATCAATTGAAAGATTATTATTATAATCTCTGGAATTCCCTGCCTCAATCCCTCTGCCTTGCTGCTCTCTATCGGTTTTTAAATTGCACCTAAGAAACCTCTTTGACAGTGCCTATGGTCAACTTCCCCTCTCCACTGCTTGATGTCCAACCCGCCACTGTACAGCTCTCTGAGATGTCATCCTACATGAGGGCGATGTCTAAACACAAGCTGTTGTTGTTGTCCAGGCAATGTGTGTGAGATGGGCGGAACCCGCGCATTAAATCGATCTCCAGGAGAAGGGAAAAAGGAGTGAAGCGGCCTTCACATGGGATAGTGTTGTGGAGCAGTCGGAGAAGGAAGAGGAGAAAAGGAGCAAAAGTGTGTGAGAGACAGCTGGAGGCCTTTGTGTCACTCACCTGTTGGGGGTCAGCGATCTCCTGGCTGTGAGTGGAAGAGCTGGTAGCGATTGAGGCTTTCTTACTCGCTCCTCCGTCTGCACACTCAGAGAGGCTCTGATTGCTGCCGGCCACAGCTGCACGATGTAGGCTGCCGTCAGAGAGCAGAGATTCCTGCCCTGACTCTGAAGCAAAGAGAACACAAGTTTCAGGAACTGGTTCTCAGAAACCTTTACATATTACTTGTTCCCCAATGTAGTCCCGCATCTACAATACTAGCTTGGAATACAGAGCCAGAATTTGCGGCTACAACAGCTTTTGGTTAAAGGCAGAACAGCACTGAGCCGTATAAGGTTACTGCCCTGACAGCTGGTCCCTGATGCCCTCAGCTATTGGGCAGGTATCAAACAATTTTTTCAGCTGACAGGACAGTTGGTGATCGCCAGATATACTGCAGACTAAACAGCATCCTTGTTAAACGGGTTAATGCAGGTATCTGACAGTCACTTAGAAATCAGAGCTGAGGAGACCCTTAGAGTGTTAGTGAGGATGACAGTCCGCTATCATTAAAAAACATTTCAGAGTCGGGGACACGTGTAAACATTGTTTAGATTGTAGCCGGCGTCACAGGACAAGACACAAACAACCAGCTGCACCTCAGATCATTTAACTGGTTGTGTACGAAGTGGAGCTTTACTTACAGCTCCCAAGAATCTCAAGCTACAAAACAACAACAACTTGTATTTATAAAGCGTCCCTCACACAGGGTAGCGTCCCAGAGCGCTTGACAATGGCGGAGCACAAAGCCGAGCTGGGGGGAGGGGGCGGTGACCCTAGGCACGGTTGATGAGGAAGGTCTTCAGGCACGACCTGAAAATGGGGAAGGCGGAGGGATAGAGGAAGAGTATTCCAGAGTTTCAGGGCGTAGTGACTGAAAGTGACAGCCACCAATGGTAGAACGGAGGGCACGGGGGACATGCAGGAGGCCGGAGCCAGTCGAGCGGAGGCAGAGCCAATGTGGATCACCCCCCCAGTAGTGGGTTAAGGGGTAAGCAGGTCAGAGAGGTACGGAGGTGCCAGGGCACGAAAACAATGTCTTTACAGTGAAGGCTTCTCTGTGTCTTCCCTCAAACACCTCAGCACTTTCCACATCACCACAGTCTGCATTACCAACCGGCCTCGTGACTAACAATCACCATAGTCTGTGCTCTCAACCAGTCCCGTGCTGTATCACATCCCCTCCTTCCGGTCAGTATTCTACTACTTTAAGCATCCACCGAATTCTTTTTAATAGAAATTTATCCATAATAGAAACTATCAGCTCAATAAAGCACCAATCACTGAGGATATAGATGACCCTTTACATCTATCCCAATACCTGTATAAATCTGCAGCAGTGCCTGTACCTGTATCCATCAGCATAACGTAGTTCTCGCTGCTGTCACTGTCCATCGATATTCGATCATCTGTCAGGCTGCCGTCCAGTGATGTTGTGTCGAGGGAATGCTGGGAGGTTGTTCGCTTTACGTTTAACAAACGTAGTTTGCTGCTGGATGAAGATGATGATATTGTGTCTTCACCTCTGGAGAGATATTCTCTTTGAAAGGAAAGAAATGTTTCGCATTAGCCAGGACCACAGATTAAGACAGAAATTACCACAAGTCTCTCCTGTTGGCTCCAAACTACCATTTTAAGGACAGTTTCTTGTATTTCAACATAAGCTACTGGGCTCCAATTGACTCAGTGACTATGTGGCAGCCCCCAGCTGCTGCTATACTTACTGGGTTGTTGGTTCCAGATCTCTGTAATGTCTAAACAGCACATGGAGTGTGATGGTGCAGCTCTTCTCCTGCCAGTGCTCTTGCTGTCAGTGTAGAATCAATGTTGTCCTTTGCACTCAAACAACTCACATCTGGAAATAATGTTTCTCACCTTCAAATGCCTCTGGGTCCTTGTCCCACAGTAGTTTCTACTTACCTGCCTATCTCAGGCCTGCTTCATGACGTCCCTCCCCCTTCTGCCCCACCAACATGAGCTTCCAGCCACTCTGCCCCCACTCTCTGGAATTCTTTCCCCAAATCCTTCCCACCTACCTCGGCTCCCACTTATCTGTAAAATGTTTTGGGACATTCTCTCACATGAACAGCAGTGTATAAGTTGTTACTGTTCAGCACTGTATTGCTGTTGTAATGATGCTACCTCTTGTCTATATCAATAAGACAAATTATAAACTTCCTCCAGGTGTAAAGCTCAGTTTTATAAATGTGCGATCACTTGGGAAGACTGACAGTCCACAGAGAAGTCAGGGACCTTTTCTCTACACCAGTCAACTCCCAAATTTTCTGAAGTTGGTGATGAAAATACTTCATCAGAGAAAACCAAACATTCATCCAACTAGAAGAGTCTTTCGTTAACTTGAAGAACTTATCCAAAGCACATCAATTACTGAAACATTTTTTGAAATGATAACTGGGTGGTGCAGCAAATTGAATATTTGTGTCGATCGGGCACACACGGAAACCCATTACCATATTTAAAGAGTATCCAAACCGGACTGAAATATCCACATAAACACAGAAAATGATGTGCATACATTCTCTGTGGAGGGAGGTACACAGTTTACCTTGGTTTCTGGAAACCTGGATTGATACAGACCAGGTCAATGGACTGAAAGTCTTTCTCACAAGCTACAGAATGCCTAATGTGCTGGTTAGACTCCATCAGTACCCCACGCATACTCTGGGGTCCCCAAGCCTTGGCTCTTGCCAACCTGTGCCTAATACTTTCCGGAATTAGGTAAGCAGGATGTGGCCCTCCAGGAATGAGTGTGCATCACATTCCAACAACCTATCTCTGGGCTTTCCATGTGTAGGTGGGATGCATGGAATTCTCAGCTTAGTTTGGATACTCTTAAGCACGGTGGGTATCTGCACTCGACTCACCATAAAAAAGGCAGCCTTGATCTATTGCCTAAAGGATATGATCTCATTCCTGATAGTTTTTATTCTGTCTGTGCAGCAGGTTTGGTTGCTACACAATGTTGAAATCAGCCTCCCTTTTAGCTTTGGTAAAGCTGGTTTGGCCACACGGTGACGCTGGTGTTGCACACTCCAGTGCAGTTGCTTACAGCAGCCAGTCTGTGCGACCTACAACAAACTGCCCTGGTACAGTTACAGCACCTTCCATGTTGGGAGCATATATAATAATCATTGCATTTAACATAGCACCTTATCACGTCTTCTAGTCATCTCAAAGCACTTCACAGAATATACTGTAAAGTGAAGTTACTGTCTACTTTGTGGGCGAAACGCGGCAGCCGATTGTGCACAGCAGCGTCCCACAAACAGTTGCGGAATGAGTGACCAAATCAGTATTTTTTTGAAGGAATTATTAACCCTGGAGAAGCGATCTGCCGATCGACTAGCAACCGGGTTCCTACTTATTGTTAAGTAAACAGAGTTGTGTGGATAAGGAAACTTGCCCAACATTCTGCCCTACCAGCTTTAACCGCAGGTTTCTCGCTTGCAAAGCGAGTGCTTCAACCACTGAGCTCCAGGACTCTGCTTAGAATGTCCCAAAACACTTTACAAATGCTGAGTGGGAGCCTGAGCTGAGAGGAGGGGGTTAGCAAATGCTACTTAGTATCAAGAGCAAGACAGGGGCATGGATTCAACATTGGTTGAAGGGAAGGAAGCAAAGATGTTATATAGATGTTAGGTCAAAACGGGGGTGGAATTAAGGGGTGCTCAGTGAGTCTGTACTGGGTCCCTCCTGTTCCTTGTGTATATGACTGACCTGATTCACAGATCCAGTGTAAGATTACATTTGCAGATGACACCAAGTAGGTGGAAAATAGGAAAATGAAAAGCAACTCCTTGTTTTTACTATTTGTGCTGTTATTTTGCATTTTCCCTGGCTGTGGGAGTGACAACCTAGAGTGTTGACTGATTAGGTGGAGAGATGCTCCTGGTGTACCTGGAGGCTGACACTGAGAGCATCCTCTGCACGGTGGAGGCCACTCTCTCCTTGCCAAAGCAGAAGGCATCCTTGGTGAGGGATACAGCTCCTTTAGTTAAATCCACCGTTACGTTCAAAGCTTCCTTCGCAGCATCTTTCGTCGAACTCAATGGACTTGCTGCCTCGGCCTCAGTGTTGGTGAGAGGAATCAGCTCAGTTGGCACATCACTGTCACAGGTTGACTCAACAGCTTCATACGCTTCTTCCACAAGCTCTTTTTCTACTGAGTGATACTCCGTTCCTTCAGTGCCACTGGGAGGTAATAGACTGCCTGTCGCCGCACAATACTGTGATAAGTGATCAGAGGAGGCAGCCAAACTTGAATCTCCATTGTGGATCCCACTGTCCTCCAAGGAGTTGACTGTGCTGTCCAGTGGATTGGAGGCGGGTGTCCTGTTCAAAGACCTGTCCTCCAGAGCCAAGCTCTCTTTGCTTCCAGAAGGCGAAAGTTCAGACTCGGCGAGGCTGGTGCTCTCAGAGTCCTGAGACTTTGCATCACTGGGGCTGGTTGGCACCGGATGGAGGAGCAATGCAACCTCAGCGCTCTTAACCCACACTCCTATACAGCTGGTGTGGTGCTTCGCTGGAGCCCCTATTACCCTTTCTATATCCAGGGCCATGTCTTCTTGCAGCTGAGTGAGACACTCTTTCAACCTCAGTAGTACAAGGTACTGGTAGTGGTTGAGGTATGATTTTATATGGGCACTGGTGTAGACCAGCACATGTATATCTGCATCAGAGTTATCATTCATATTGGATTCCTTCACTCCAACCGGCTCTGTGTTTAGTCCTTTGTCTGCCTTTCTGAAAGACGTAAATTTATCGTCCATTATCTTCTGTCTTGTACCACCCAATGACCCATTTTCCACTGACGGCTCCGTATTTCTGAACAGATTTCTTCTATGATCCAAATCGTCTGAGTTAACAGTGTCCTCAGGAGCACGGTGGCTGGGCAGAGTCTTGCGATCCTTGTACTGTTGGAACCTGGTGGGTTGAGACACCCAAATGGAGAGAGGATAGGGGTCCACAAAGCTGAACGGCTTGCTCTTCGAACTCTGCATGCCCTCAAACTCCAGCCATAGCTGGGCGAAATGGATGGACCAGATGTCAGCAGCTGACGGTGCCTTGAGTGAATCAAAGGCCAGATTCAGGTCTGCGTGCAGTCTCTCCATGTACGTCTGTGGCTCGGAAACATGCTGCAAGAACATATTATGCAACACATTGAAGCTATTTGCAGATTTAGGGAACTCCTTATACGTTGAGTCAAAGAATTCACTGTTTTGGAAGTCCATGAGCACTGACTGGAGATCCTGGTACATGCAGTTGACAGAGTGCCTGGTGTTTGTGGCTACCATATCTGAGGTCTGGATGGTCAGATACTGCGGCCTGTCTGGATGATCCATTTCCTTCTTTTCCACCGGGATAACAAACTGCAGGAAAAGAAGAAACAACAATCTGGAAAACCTTTATCATGGTTTTTTATAGGTTGAATTAAGAGACCAGGCGAAACGTGTCAAAACAGATAGAAATTTTCTGTACATTCCCATTGCAACACAAACCAACTTCCTATTAGAAGAGCAAAACTTCTTCAAGGTAGGCATTCCTAGAAGAGAAGTGGCAGTGAATTAAATATAAACAAAACACAAAATACTGAGTATTTTGTGTTTTGTCCAACTTCCTATACTCTGACAGCATCTAAAGGTCACTGCCTCAAACCGAGGATTGGAATTTTCCAAAACAAAATGACAATAACTTACATTTTTATATAATTTCCTTCACTTTGGATAACATCTCAGAGTGCTTTAAATGACAGCGTCAGACTCCAAGCAAGAGAGAGGGGAGGGGGAAGTGACCATAGGCACAATGCCCAAAGTCTCCCAATGAGCCCCAAATTGTCTGAAAAGTTGGCACAGATTACACTTTGTTTTGATATATCAATGTGTCAAAACATTTTTTCTAATTTTCCTCTCATTGGCCTTGGCTCCTCATGCCAGGGTGCTGCTGCTCATTTGTGAACAAGTGTAAATAACCAAGAGAATTAATGCACAAAGTATTCATCCTTGTGAGGCAGGAATACACTGTACAATACCAGCATCCTGTGTTATTAAGCACACGTTCGACATCTCTACTCCTCTTGTTTACGGCTCTTGGGTAGCTTTTTATAGCACAGCAGCTGTGAACATTATGTCACTGTTAAGACTGAACAAGTCTGCACAAGGAGCACATTCTTATTCTCTCATTAACCATTACATGACAGCATTCAGCCTCTTCCCTTGAAGACAGTGGCTCACGCTGGCTTACACAGTCACTCTAGTGTTTGGGCCAGTGCATGAGTGGCAGGCTGCTATACATTGGGAGCAGCAACTGTCCCAATTCCTAAGATAATCAAGCCAATTATAATTGAATGTTCCTTGGAAAATTCCTTGAAAACAAATTCTCAGAGTGTAAATTATTCCATTTCAAACCATTCAATGAACAAATTAACCCTCGCACTGTACTGGGACCTTGTGCGCCAATTAACCCATTTATTTTAGCCTTCACTCTTCACTCAACTGAATCGTAACAAGTGCAATAGACAGAGCTGTTAGGAAGCCCCAAGGAAGAGGATCTGTGTCCCCCTTGTCAAGCAGACCACAACTGCAGTGTTTTTATTAATGAATCAGTAGATCACAATTCAAACCATCTGGACATAGTCTCTAACAAATGTGGCCTACATGGGAGGTAATTCTTCCTTTATTAAACGCAATGATTAGACCTCAGGCTCTTCAGTCTTGAGAGAGGATGACTCAGAATGGACTACAAAGAGGTGTATAAAGTTTTAAATGGGATTGAAAAAGTAAACCCAGATCAATACTTTTGGATGCACCAAAACAGTAGAAGAGGATACAGATTTAGAGGTGTAAAGGGCAACTTCAGGACAGACACCAGGAGGTTTGTCTTTGCTCAGAGGGTAATTAATGACTGGACCAGGTTGCTGGGAAGGATGGTTGAGGCCAGGACACTGATCTTCTTTAAAAATCAGCTCAATTATCCTTCATCCAAACTGATCTTGTGATTACTTTGGAGAATGACTAACCTTTAGCATGAGCCCATTCATACAAAAGTTGACATGTTCGTCGGCTTTGCCAGAGTCATCCAGTTTATAGATAGCTTTGAACTGTTGTAGAGTCTGGTACAGGTCCAAAGAGAACGTGTTCATCCATAGCATACTAGTTGGGTCCAGAGTGAATTGCAAGGTATTGAGCTGCACATAAAGGTTTGGGCAAGGCACTGCAGATAAAAAAGCAACAATCAATGTATGTTTACTTAAAACCAGTTACAACAACAACGAGGGGGTGAGGCAGAGTAATTGGGGAATGGAATTCCAAAGGTTGGGGGCAGAGTGGCTGGAGGCTCTCCTGCAACTGGTGGGGCGAGTGGGTCGGGGACGTGGAGCAGGCCGGAGCCGGCTGAGCGGAGGGAGTGGGCGGGTTGGTACAATCTTAAACCTCTCCTGAATCAAGCCGATTCCTTAATATTCATCCCAATAAGGTTACTGTAGCAGACTTGGAACAGATTGCCACAAGTAGAGGCCTAGACACTGGACTCAGCTTAAAGAAAAGGTCTGATACTGTGATGGGAGGAGAGTGGGTGGGTGATCTGGAAGGATGAGATCAGATGGGCCGAAGGGCCTTCTTTATTCAAACTAATCTTGTGGGTTTGTGACTTTCAACTGAATGCTCACAAGGAGGTGGTGTTGCAGTGCATGAATATGTTGCATGTGCTGGGATATGCTTATGATTCCTTCTATTCCTGCAGAATGAGCAGCCCCTTGGTTTAAAGTCTCCCTAGTCTTCAGAAACCTGAGTTTGATGCGTGTGTTGATGTGTTGGCCATTGGGACCTAAAAGGAGTCAGGGATTAAGTGGTGAGTAGCAGGTATTGGAAAAGAGAGGATAAAAAAGCAATACTTTCCATTTATAATTAGACATTTATAACCAGAAACAAGATGTGCACTGTCTGATTGAGTGGATTGCCACAGCAATTATCCTTGAAGAACGGAGCATTGTGACAGTTTTCTGGCCAAGCCCTTTCTAAAGATTACAAGCATGTGATCAGTCCTTCAGCTGATCTGAACACTCATTGACCACTTCAACCTCTCCTGACCTACCAGCTGATCTCACTCCTGTGAGATTCACAGGACTCAAATCTCCACTTTGTCACTAAGGGCAACTAAGTAAAGATGGTTTCACACTGAATAATTCAAGTGAAATCATTTAGAGGAAGAAAAACGATAGAACCAGGAACAGAGAGCAGCAGGTATGAAACGTTTCCTGCTGTGTTTCTCCTGCATCCCATCCTTCACCTAGAAAAAATGTCTCTGCATCAGGGTTTCCATGTAGGAAAATGACAATTTGTCAAAAACAGATCAGATCAAAAGAGGACCCTTGATTTTAATCAACCTTCTGTCCCTCAGCTGCAGCCGAAACCCTTCATCTAATCACTTAGCTACAAAAAACAACGGTCTCAAGTGGTGGTTAGTGTACACATAGGGTGACTGCCACATGAATAATCGAGGGATTCTGAATGTTTGGATCGGGTTTAGGAATGGAACATAAAAGAGATAAATCAGAGGGGATTTCCTTCAGTGGAATTCTATCCTTTGATCATAATTGTATTTTGATGAAGTACTTAATGGAGACAGCTTAAAAGAGTCAATTATACCAGCAACCAACTCTGCCCTCCAACCTCTATGTTCCCAGTTAATGAAAAATGGATTGAAATGAATTCAGTACAAAAGGCACTTTGGTGATTTTTGCTAAACGGCTTAGGTCTGTAGCAAATGATATCAGTGTGTTTGATGAGTTAAATAACGGGTAAAGAATACTGTGTCACCCGGGAGTTCCCCAGCTGGCTTTTGAAATCGCTCTTTTCAACCCAAGCGGGAATCTCCCAGGACAGAAACCCCCATCCACACACCACCACCCCCACAGGTACTCTCGCCAGCACCCCACAACCACCCTCATAGCCACAGGCAGAGCCACCCCAACAGTCCCCCACACACATTCACAGGCGTCACTGGGTTGTGTTTTGCTTTCAAGTGGTAACATCAGCTCAGCAGGTAGCAATGGGCCCATTAGGGTTTGAGCTCAGTCCAGGTTGATACTGATTGAGGGAATGTTGCACTGTCAGAGGTGCGCTTCAGGCTTCTGCAATCAAGAGCTCACAAGACTTCTGTTTCCACTATATGTAGGTAGAGATATTAATATATTACATCCTATGCTTAAGAAACACAGGTACAACTGGCATAGAACAGTAGAAACTTACAGGACAAAAAGTGGCCATTCGGCCCATTGCATCTGGGCTAGCTCTTTTTAAAGAGCATTCCTTTCAGTGTATTTACCTGCCCTTTCCCCTTATCCCTGTATGTTTATTCCTTTTTAAATATCAATCTGGTTCCTTTTTGAAAGCTAATATGGATTCTGTCTCAACCATTGTTCCCAGAAGGGCATTCCATATACTAACCACTGTGTGTGTGAAACATAAGCTCATGTTGGAAGTTTAACCAGCGAAAACCAGGCAGTCTCTCATGTAAAGCAATCAGCAAACTTCCCAATGTTTGTCAGGCAAGAAGCATCCTACTTAGCAGGGAATTAGCTGAGCAGGAAGAACCCCTCATGTGGCGCAACACTCAACCCCCCCACCCCCAATTATACCAGCGACCATACCCACATAAACCAGCTGTGTATTTCTCAATCAAAATCAAAAAGCTGCCTCGTCTCAGAACCTTACCAGGAAAGGCTTTGCTGTCGGGGAAATAGTATTCAGTGAATTCGATGTGAATTGCCGAGATGCCAGTCGGGAGGTGATAGTTCTGCCTGTTGCACGAAAGTAACGTTCTCGGCTTTTTACCCTGCTGACCCGCGGCCGAGACCTTCAATAAAAAGAGACATCAATATTGAATTTCCTGTCACCTTTTATGGTATTTAATGAGTTTGTTTAATGGATTTACAAATAAGTACTACAAGCTTTCAGCTATTTTATTACACAAATGGCAACTCTAGGCACCAGTTACCAGATCTCAGCTGCAGTAGCACAGTTGATATATTGTATTACAGTCCACGACACAGCTAATGGCATTTTTCTAGGTTTCAACAATAATTATCAACAAAATGTGAAGGGTTGTAAAGGCTGGGATTAACCAGTGACTGGACTCAGAGCAGAAACGAAGGCAGCGTCACTGAATGTGGGAGGTGCTGAATGCATCTTTCAACCTGCCCCCTCCCCCAGGGTGCAGAAAGGAAACCTATTAACAATAACAAGTCCTTCCATTTGATGTTGTGTCTTATCAGGTTGTTGAGATATCTCAACGCATTTAACAGGAATTTACTCAGCGGTGTATTGACTATATTTGTAAGCGAACACGCGAGAACTTAGAGCACCACAATATCGACAGCAGATATTCCACTTCAGTCTGCTGCAATTATACATGTAGATTTTTAAAACACAGGTGAGACTGGGGGCTGAAGCACTACAGACTGAAGTGTGAGTGTGCAATTTTTTGTGTTTCTCTGTGTAAAGTTCGAAACAATCAAATAAGTTTTATTTTGTCCGAGGACAACAACAACAATTTATATTATGCATTTATATTGCGCCCTTCGCGCTCTGAAGGACATTCAGTTTGATAAGGGAATGAATAGTTGTGGTAACTATTCACCTTCTACGTTCACCTACAAATGACACAGACATTACACATTATATAATAATGATAATCCTTGCATTTGATACAGCTCCTTATCTCGTCTTCGAAACTTCTCAATCGCTTCATAGAATATACTGCAAAGTGAATTGACTGCGTATTTTGTGGGCGAAATGCGGAGGCCACAGCAGTGTTCCACATCATGGATTGAGTGACCAATTTATTATTTTTTTTGAAGGAATTATCACCCCCGGAAAATTGATCCACTAATCGACTAACAAGCTGCTAGGTAAGCAGAAGCATGTGGAGTAAGGAAACTTTCCCAACATTTCACCCTGCTGGGAATCAAACCCAGGTCTCTCGCTTGCAAGGCAACAACACCATATATCCTGTGAAGCACTTTGAGATGTTTCCTGATGTGATATTCTCTGTAGGACCCAAAGACTCAATTTGCTACGATTATGGTTGTCATTTATTCCGTGAATTATTCAGCTTCAAAGCTATTTGTTAGAAGGATAAGGCACTTAGAAAGAATCCGACAATGGGGAACAAACGGATTTGCCAACCTCATAATGAACTATTCTCTATGTGAATGGGTCAATGGAATCTGCCAGCTTCAGTTATCTTTCCTGGTCTTGATACCAATCCAGAGCCATTAATGCGTTTACAACCCCATTAATGGAGAGAGTCTGAGTCAGCGCACTATCCATTCATCCTTGGCATCCGGAATCTAATCCAGCTGAGATTCATCAGGTGAAACTTCTCTCTGGATACAACAAGAACCTGACTGCCAGCACTCGCCGGCAATCAGATGAGTAAGAGAACTGTGCCTGCAAATAAGACACTGTCACTCTTTAGTAGGGGTGACTTAAGCTATCTAGCCACTGCTTCCTCACCTCAAATGCCAACTATGAGGCAATGCTGGACTTCCTCGAGTCCAAAGTCGAGGGAATCCGCTCAGCTGCCTCGGCCTTCTGTTGCCCCCTCCCCATCTCCCCCACCCACCCTGGACCCTACCCATCCCTTCCTCCACACCTTCGAACCTGTCTCCCCCTCCTCTCTCATCACCACTATAACCTGCATGAAACCGACCAGCTGCTCCCTCGATCCCATCCCTACCCCCTTCTTACCTCCCAGCTCCACCTCCTTGCCTCTCCACTCACTGACATCATAAACCTCTCCCTGTTCCAACCCCATTAAAAATCACCTATCACTCCTATCCACTCCAACCTCCCTTTCCTCCCCAAGGTCCTGGAACAAGGACCTTCTCAACTTTGCTCCTTCTTCTTCCACCACTCCCTTCATGAACCCCTCAGCACAGAAACAGCCCTGGCCAAAGTGACTGATTCAGATCGTATCTCTCACACCGTCTCCACTTCATCTCCACAAACAGTTTCTCCTCTAGCCCCCGCACCGTCTCGTGCAGATTCCTCAGAACTCTGTCCTTGGTCCCCTCCTCTTCAATATCTATATGCTCCCCCTTGGTGACATCATCTGCAGATGTGGGGTCAACTTCCACATGTATGCGGATGACACCCAACTCTACCTCCCTGCCTCCACCCTTGACTCCAGGACCACTGCTGTCCTGATAGAATGTCTGTCGGACATCAAGTCCTGGATGAGAGCTAATTTTCTCCAGTTGAACGTCAACAAGACCGAGGCCCTCCTGATTGGCTCCCATCAGGTCTCCTCACCTCAGGCGCTGACAGCATCACCATCCATGGTTGCACACACCACCTCGCTAAGCCAGTCCAGAACCTTGGCGACTTGTTTGACCCCCAACTATCCTTTCTACCACAAATCTGCGCCATGACCGCTCTTCCCCCACCTCCGCAAAATCGCCCAGCTCTGCCATTGTCTCATACCGCAGGCCGCCGAAGCCCTCACACATGCATTCGTAACATCCAGGCTCGACTATGCAAACTCATTGCAACTCCTCCCTCCATAGACTGCAGATCATCCAGAACTCTGCAACCCGTCCTCTCCTGCGCGAGGCTCCGTGACCCTATCACCCGCATCCTCTCTCGACTCCACTGGCTTCCCATCACACAGAGGATACAGTTCAAGATCCTGGCCCTCACCTTCAAAGGCACCTACCTCTGTGATCTCCTAACCCCCTATCATCCTGCTCGCTCCCTCCGCTCAGCGGGCTACGGCCTGCTTCATGTCCCCCGCCTCGCTCGCCCCACTATTGGCGGCTGGGCTTCTGCCACTCTGCCCCCATCCTCTGAAACTCCATGCCTCAGTCCCTCCGCCTCGCCCCTTCCCTTGCCTCCTTCAAGACCCATCTTAAGACCCTCCTCTTCGACTGTGCTTTCGATCTCCCTGCTTCCCCCCCGCTCTCCATCTTCCATGAGGCCGACCCCAGCTCGGAAACTCTGTCTGTCCAGTGCCTTGGGACATCCTCCCGACGTGAAAGGCGCTATACAAATGTAACTTGTTGTTGTTGCTCCCTAAATCCTCCCGCCTCACACCTCTCTCCGCTTTCAAAATCCTTGTAAAAATCTACCTCCTTCGTTCCCATCAGTCATTGTCCCCACCCCCATCTCACATCCTGCGCAAGCTCTGTGAAACATTTTGAGACAATTAACCATATGAAAGGCATTATTTAAGAGCCAGCAGTTGGTGATGAAAGGGTTTGGTAAGGCAATGTTTATAGTCTGTGTCCACTTTTTGGTAAATCCAAATTAAGGAAGTATAAATATTAGATAGCCGGTAGCAGAATTAAAAAGGAAGTTAGCAATAATTTCTTTACACAGAGGGTGGTGAGAATGTGGAATTCGCTGCTGGAAGCTGTAGTTAAAAGCAGGAAGCATCAGTGTATTTGATAGTAAACTTGATGTATACACGAGGGAGAAGGAAGTAAAGGGGGATGGGAGAGAGGATTTGGAAGAATAGAGGTTTATGTGGGGTATAAACACCAAAATGGACTAATTGGGCCAAATGATAAATCCTTTCTGTAGATTCTGTGTAATTCTTCTGTGTAGCAAGTTAAATTTAGGGCCACTCTGTGTTTGGGCGCATTGTACTTAACCTGGGAGTTTTTAATGGAGACACTGGCTGCCAAAGCTGACTTGTTTTACATTGCTCAACATTTATACATTTTGCCTTATTAGAAAGAAACATCATCTAAACCAAAATACCAGCTAAATAATATATAATTATTATAGAATCATAGAATTTTACAGCACAGAAGGCCATTCGGCCCATCGTGCTGTGCTGGCTCTTTGAAAGAGCTACCAACTAGTCCCACTACCCCGTTGTTACCCCATAGCCCTGCACATTGTCCTTTTTAGGTACCTATATAATTCCCTTTTGAAAGCAATTATCCAATCTGCTTCCACTACCCTTTCAGGCAGTGCATTACAGGCCTTAACAACTCTCTGGGTAAAAAATTCTCCTCATCTCCCCTCTGGTTCTTTTGCCAATTATCTTAAATCTGTGTCCTCTGGTTACTAGCCCACGTGCCAGAGGAAATGATTTCTTCCTATTTACTCTATCAAAACCCTCATAATTTTTAACACCTCTATTAAATCTCCCCTCAACCTTTTCTACTCTAAGAAAAATAATCCCAGCCTTTCTAAGCCTCCCCGCATAATTAGTCCCTCATCTCTGGTATAATTTTGTAATTCTTCTCTGCACCCTCTCCAAGGCCCTGACACCCTTCCTAAAGTGTGGTAGCCAGTTGTACATTGTTTTAAAATAAGTTATCCTCTCTGATTGTGAATTGGCACCAGGATCAGAAAAGAACTGAAAGAACACTGAATCCCTATCAACTGTACGGAGATGTTTAATCAGAAAACCAGCGGACTTCAGATGACAGGGTTCTCCAGTTAAACACTAGCTGTGGATTGGCTCCCATCTCTCGCTGGATCAAGTTCAAAATCCTTGTTCTCACCTTTCAATCCCTCCTTGGTCTTGCCCCACATTATCTCCGCAACTTCCGTCAAATCTACTGACCCGGCTGCCCCTTCACTCAGAGCCAACGGCCTGTTTCATGTCCCACCATAGGCAGCTGGGCTTTCAGCCATTCTGCTCCAGTTCTCTGGAACTCCATCCCAGAATCCGATTCACTCTCTAACCTTGTTCAAGGTCCGTGTCAAGACCTACCTCTTTGACCATGCTTTGGTTATTTTTCCCTCCCCACCTTTGCCCCTCTGCTCCCATCTCCAGCTTGGATGCCAACTAAGCCATGATTGTTAAGTGCTTTGAGATCGTCCACCCAACATGAAAGGCGCTATATAAATTTGTATTGCATTGTTTCCATGATTTAGTGAGGAAGCAATAAAAAGAGTGTATCCTCGAGGGAGGAGAGGTTTGCAATACACTGATTTGGTGCATTGACCAAATGGGAGAAGGGGAAGAGGGTCACCTTATGTTATCCAATAAAGCCATTCATCATTTGGAGTGAAAAGAAAAGGTCAGGTTTCATTTGGTGAAGCCTGAGCAACAAAGCAAAGCAAAGAGTTGATGAAAGTAGCGATGGGGAGATCACCCCACCTCATCCAAAGGACAAGCACATCAACGTACCTGAAAAATGTTCAGGTCTTCAACACGGATAACTACACAGCTGGACCGCAGCCTGTCCCAAGGTGGATGCCGTGGGCTTGGGGCAGCCATGGATGACTTATCAAACGCCTGACCTTTGCCAGGAGCACTTGGTTTCTGAGTGGGAGAAGCCTCTGTAATGAAAACAAAGACATACTGTGAAGCATCGCCTGTGTGCAACAAGGCTTCAAAAACACTGTCAGCTACAGGAACTCAGCTATAACTCGTATTCCAACATTTCTGTTTGAGTGAAGTCGCTATCGAGGTTGCTATGCATGGAAATTCTATACAACGAAAGAGACAGTGCTGGGTGAACTGCAGGAATAATGTCCATCAAACAAGTTAAAGTGTTCAGTTGTGATCTTTGCTCAGCGTGTGACAAACCACTTTTTTCAAATGTTCAGGAGCAATAACATTTTTTTATCATGCTGGACGGTTTTAGGTAACAGATTTTACTGAATCAGGGACAGCTGCTGGCTTGGTGGGTGCCCTCACAAAGTGGTCCTGATTCATGGGGGCTAGAAAAGGTCCAGCTTGATTCCCTGGTCCGTGCTGAGTGACCTGATCTCAGCCAGGGCATCAGCCTGGCTTACTGGTAACGCTCTTGCCTCTGAGTCAGAAGGTTGTGGGTTCGAACACCACGTCGTGACTCAGAATCACATAGTCTAAGTTGACACCATGCACTATTTGAAAAGCGAATGGAGTTTCTCTCGGTGACCTGGCCGACAGCCCCCAGATAAAATTGGTCACCCACTACATGGCTGTTTGTGGAACATTACTGTGCAAAATTGGCTGCTGCTTTTCTCTCAAAAAAGACGGTCAATCACTAGATTATCCTACTAGACTCTATATCAAATACAAGGATTATTATTATTTGAAATCCCTGGGTTATGGAGAGGCAAAAAAAAATGTTCCTACTCCCACTTACAGTCCAGAGACCCCTGCTGGAAAGTCAGTTTGTGTACATTGATCAAGAATGGGATTGGGCTGCGAGGCCATTTGAGTTTGAATAGCCAACCAACATTCACTGTCATTCGGACATTAATAATATCCGCTAGGGCGAGCTATCAGAGCGTGCATGGACCTGGGTAACAGTTCCTAGGTAGAAGAAAAAAATAAGTCAAAACGGAAGCAGAGATGAGGAGAAAATGAAGAAAAATCACAGGGGAAAAGAAAGGTTCCTTATCCATTTGAACAGAATTCCCGAATCACAACTGCTATTCTAAAGTGGTATTTTAGCACCAATCGTACCAGCTAAATGTAATAATTTTGAATGTGCACTTCAGGCTTTTATTAAAATGTAATGGAAGCAGTGTTTGAAATCCAGCCTGTGAAGCTCAGCGTATCAGTCAGCTCTATCATGTAAATTTCCTTTGTATAGTTCTATAACTCTTTCATTCAATGTGTAGCAATTATATCAATCCATACTTTCATCTACTTCAAAGACAACTTAAGATTCATTTATTCTTTTTAAGTCGTTTCATTGTTTACACAGATCATTTCCACTGATCATTAAAGCAGAGCAGAGCTGGTGAAACAGATTTATGTTGGAGCTAATGCCAACCGGGAAGCAATAGAGGTTAGGGTTAGGTTTTACATTTTGGATGGGCGATAGGGTTAGGGTTAATAATACGATGCCTCAGATATCCTGTGATTGGAGGGGAACGTCAGCCAGGGTTCCTGGGCTGCCCTTGCAAGCTATGTGCAGACCTTATGTGAGGCTACAAAGTTCAGCTTCCTTCCACTCCTGAATGGTTTGTTGAAACTCTCACATTAAGAATGGGTGAGAAGCTGCACAGGACTGTACCTCAGCATGAGTCAGTCTTCAGGAGAAACAAGAAAAACTTATTCAAAAGGAGGAACATCTTCCCACGAGTACTGAGATTCTCTTGTGTGAAAATTTAAACAAACACACTCAGTTGTAGTTTGCCTTCACTTTTGCAAGATGACAATTGTAATGAAAATAAACATCCTTTAAGTGAAATGCATGACCCTGTAGCAGGTTCCAGTCTTTACTATATATAGCTTTAGGGTTTAATCTGCAGTATTCGCAAACATCAACTCCGCTCAGAGCCTGATCTAATTTCCGATTCTTCTTCTGTGTTCAACACAGGTGGGCAGTGGAAGATTGGCTCCAGTGATGGGTGGGTACAACACACGTCCAGACCAAGGGCAAGATTGGAAGTTGTTCATGGAACAGTTCTTCGGTAGAAGGAAAAACGAGTCAAAACACATTCAGAAGTGAAGAGAATATTGTAAATGCTTTTACTTTCTGTTTGAAAGAGGGGGACCTTATAGAGATGAATTACATTTTAAATGGGTTTGAAAATGTTAATCCAGATCAATAGTTTCAGATGCACCAATGCAGTAGATTAAGAGAACACAGGTTCGGAGACGCAGAGGGCAATTAATTTCACAGAGACATCAGGAATGACTGGAAAAGGTTGCCAGGAAGGGTGGTTCAGGTCAGGACACTAGGATCATTTAAAAAAAACTTTAAAAAACAGCTAGATCCTGTGATGGGAGGATAGTAGGGTGGGTATTGTGGAAGGATGAAATCAAATAAGCTGAAGAGTCTTCTTCATCCGAACCGATCTTGTGATCTTGTCAACATGCAAATTGGATCCCGTTGTCTATATATTTTTTGCATCCTTGGTCTCGAGCCTGCTTGCTGAAACCCCTCATGTGCTAGCGGGGGTGACACTCACAAAGAACCACAAATGATTTTCTAAGATCATTTAATGAGCATCTTTAACCCTACGCTTCTGACATTGAGTACATATCAACCACATAAAGGACAAGGGCACTGGAGTCTAAATGAACAGATGTGATCACTTCAAATCAAACCTCCCTCATAAATTTATCACTATGTAAATTACCAAGACTAGTTAAGTAATTACAAGGAAGCAATCTTATCCTCTTGTGAGAATGGAGCTCCAGAGTTTTTTTTTGTAACTTTGCATTAAGATATAATATTTGTAAAAGTGGATTATACCTTGAAGTCACGTCAAGATAATATTTGCTGGCAACATTTTTCAATTCATTGCAATAAAAGAATGTAGAACATCTATTTTCTCCAATGACTGTCATCACTACAAACCTCTGGTACGGATGCTCTAAGTGTAGGTGATCTACTAAACGTTTGATTAGTAATCTGCCGAGAGTTTAAGCTCACAAGCCTGGCTGACCCTCCTGTGATGGGAAAACGCTGGATTCTTGAGGTACCATCCTTCACGACTGTTCATGGGATACTGCTATGCATAATTGGCTGCTGAGTTTCGTCCACAAAATATACAGTCAATTCACTTTACAGTATATTCTGTGAAGTGCTTTGAGATGTCTTGAAGACGTGATAAAGCGGTATATCAAATGCAAGAATAATTATTATTATTATGGAGTGTGTCAAGAAATGTACAAACACATACCTGCTCGCTTTGTTGGAGACTCCTTTGTTGGGGATATGATTGCTGTAGTGCTATCGTCGTGATCGATTATTGCTTCTATTTTGGACTGAAAGTCTTGTAGCAGCTTTTTGGCCCAGCGTGCCCTGGTCTCCATTGCTTCGCAATGTTGAACCCAATGTTTGCAGCTGTCACCTGTGACAAGAGCCATTCCACAGCTTCATTAGGCTATTCATCCAACATTGAATCTATCAAGTGTTAAAGTCTTGAGGTCACCTTCTAACAGATCATAAACTAACTTCATGTCATTTTTGTAGAAAGCTACCACTCTCATGTCACCCACTGTAATAAAGGACTCACCCTCACATCACTCTGTGTAATGAAGTACCTGACCTTATACATGGGACATAGCAAAGATATAGGAGGTGAAATTCCACCTAAGTGCAGCTTTAATGTATTTTCTTTGCATTTCAGAGTGTGCAGATTCTTAAATAAAATCTTAATTGTGAAGCCTTCTGTAAGTTCTTTTAAGAATGAACTCAACAATTCGGCAAATCTCAGGTGCTCTGCAATGGTAAGAAAATAGACCCACATGGAATTCCCCCCCATAATCTCTTCCAATTGTTTTGTCAAGTCTTTGTTGTTTGTGTCTCAGCCTGGCTCGTCAGTAATGCTCTCTCCTCCGAGTCAGAAGGCTTTGTGTTCAAGCCCCAGATCAGGACTTGGAGCCCTATAGACTAGGCTGGCACTCCAATGTAATGTTGGGGTGTGCTGCATTGTTGGAGGTGCCATGCTTCGGATGAAACATTAAAAATAAAAAATTAAAAATTAAACCGAGGTCCCGTCTGCTTATTCACTGGGACGTTAAAGATCTCATGGCACTATTCGAAAAGAGAAGGGAGTTTCTCCCAGTGTCCTGGCCAACAACCTCCAAATAAAATTGGTCACTTACTCTATGGCTGTTTACGGGACATTGCTGTGCGCAAACTGCTGCCTTGTTCACCCACAAAATACAGTCTGTAAAGTCACTTGACTTTACAGTATGTTGTGTGAAGAACTTTGGAACATCTTCCTGATGTGAAAGTCACTATAGAAAATATAGGGATAATTGTTATTATTATCCAATCTCCTACATAGGTTAGAGGTCCTTCACTACGGTGAGCAGGATTCACTTACTTGCCCAATGGAAGGGATAACAATCCATACTCAGTTTTCTGAATGTTAACTGCATGGCGCCTCCAGTCACCCCATGTTTTGATTTCCCTACACAACATACAAGAGAGAACAATTAGACAGAATTGATAATAATTTGCTTTATAATGCACCTTCCACTGCACTCACTACATACCCAGGGGGAGCAAACTGATTTAAGTTCAGGTATTTAGACTACCTGAGTATCGTTCATAATTTGGAACATAGGAATAGGAAGAGGTTATTCAATTCATCAACACAATTTCTTAACGCCTGCAATCTAATATGTTAACAGGAGAAGAACCCTCGTTATCATGTGCTGTTTTGAGTCCATAAACCCAAATGTTACAAGAGGGCCCAAAGCCAAAATGACTGCAGCAATGTCACTTCCAGTGAGCTGCACATGCACCCAGCCTACAGGAAGGGCAACAAACCCATGTCCTGAAAATGTGGCCGATATTGATCTGCGCTTCCACAGGAAAGCCAGCAACTGCACTTGCGTCTCCAGTGGATAACAGTGCTATATGCAAACTGGCGCAATAGGACGGTGCATTATAAAGCAAATGTAATACGCTTCAGGAAGCCTCACAAGTACCAGTGTTAAACTTCCCTTTTTCTCCCCTGATTGAGTAAGAATACCATCAACTTCATGTAAAATGGGATTTAAGTGGGATGAATTCCTTTTTGTGGGACATTAGTCTTTACCCTCCAGAACGCTCATGTTGTTTGTGTGGCTTCATTAGTTTTATTGTAAAATTTTAAATGGAAGGAAATTGTGTTTTATCGATTGCTGGTCACTGAAACAAACATGTATTTCTCAGTGAAAATGTTTTAAAAGAAACTACAACTTAAAGGGGTAAGAGGTTTCTGGAAAGAAAATACTTGAAGGGTGACTAAAAAGGAGTAAACTACAGGGGTATGGGGAATGGTAAGGTAAATGGGACTGAAAAGATTGATCTAAACAGTGCAGGCACAGGTATGGTGGGCCGAATGGCCTTCTTCTGTGCTGTGAATTTCTATGGTTCTATACGGTCAGAGGGCAGGCAGCTGGGGTAAGAGCCATCAATATAAAATGAGCTTTTAAGTATAAAAGTTCTTACGAGTCTCAGACGGAATGAGTATTCGCTTGTCCTCCCATCCCAACACTAATAGTGGCAAATTCCTGTATTATGGGATACCCATCTTCAGTTTACTGACCTCACTGCCTTTGTAAATGAGAATGAAGCATACACTGAGTTAGTTGCTGATCATATGCTAGTACCTTGTTCATTTGAGACACCATCGTCACAGATGTGCAAGTCCAGGCGGGAGATAGTGGTGTGATAGGATGATTCTTTCACGTCGTGATTCTCAAAGTACTGACTGATGCTTTTGGAGCTGCTGCTTGTTGACGAGGGCTGTGGTCGTGTTTGCTGGGTGCTGGGCGCCGGTCCAATCGTCTGTAAAACGGGCGTTAGCGACAAAGATTAAATTGAAGAATAAATCCAGATAAAACACTGTAATAATAAACTGTAAGTAGAACTAGAACTAAATCTTCTCAGCTTATATTGTATTGTAATCATGTAACCACTTTAGCAGTTACCACCGTAAAAAGATATATTATAGTATGGTTTAGTTGTGCAGTCAGGCTGTACAGTGCACTGGTCAGGTCACACCTTGAACACTGCACACAGCTCTGGTCACTGTGACATAAGGGGCTGCTCAGGCCATAGAGTCAGTGCAGAGGAGAGCAACGAGGATGATCCCCAGGGTTAGAGGATGAGCTGTCAGCAATGATAAGCTAGGACTCTTCAGTCTTGAAAGCAAACCTCTCAGAGGGAACATTATAGAGGTGTATAAAATTATAAATGGGATCGAAAAAGTAAACCCAGACCAGTACTTTCAGATGCACCAAGACAATAGAACAAGGAGGTCACTGATCTGTATGGATCAGCAAGTTCCCAGATGCTATCCCTCACCTTACTGACCACTGGCTTCAGCGATGGTGAGATAGGGACAGGTGACGGAGAGAGTAAGAGTGAAAAATAACGTCAGTCAGAACCCTGACTCCGGATTGCCTGCTGGAAAGTCCATGTGTGGCCATGTGGTGTGTGGGGGGGTGGGGCTATTGGGGAAAGACTACAGGAGGTTCACAGACCGGGAAAGACACCAGAGAGCTGCAAGTGCTGCGAGAACTGGTTCTCAACTGAAAGACGTTCCCGTTTTCCCAAATTGTTGTGTAATGTTTCTGCTGAACATTCAAATTCACTTCCAAATCTTCAGCTATTATGCCCCTAATCTCTGAATCCTTGCTTTAGAGGATTCCGTGCTTTACCAGTCCACAGAATCCTCCCTCTATTTAAATCCCATCTAAAGATGACCTCTTCAACATGCCTACGATCACCTATCACTGTCCCATCCCCTCGTCTCCCTTGCTCAGCATCCGGCATTAAGAGCTCAGAGGCATTATCCACTGTAAAGGGTGCGATATACATACAAGGTCTTGTTGTTTACAACTTCGACACGATGCTAGAAAAACAAGTCTCACTCGAGTACAGCATGCCTTGTTCCCTTTGGTGATGCCGCCTATACAATTATACTGAGTGTTTCAAGAAGATTCGATCTGCATTTCATCCCTTGCTAGATGAACAATTTAGTTGCAAAAATCTGTAGCGTAGCAACTGACACTAGTCACAGTGCTGAGTGTGGCTGTTACTGACCCCTGCTGTGTCGGGCACCATGCTCTTCCGCTGCTTGGCTGAGTTCTCTATGGCCTCACTCAGTGACTGTGCGTATTTGATCATTGCTTTCAGTTGCGAGTCTGTTAACACCCACAGTAAATCGTCCAAAATAAACATCAGCTTTGAAGCCACCACATTGCAGTCTTTCACCTGAAAAAACAAGGTCTGTGTTTAGAAATGCACACGGTTCCTTTTGTGGATTTTCTTTACATCGTTTCGGATGCTAAGTTTAGGGAGTTAACATTTCACACATTTACTAAAAGTTTTTAAAATCCATTTGCCCTACAACAACCATCCCTCTGCTTCTCGGCCTCCAATTACTTTCATAGTGACAATTAGGAGAGGACTATTCTGGTCTGGTACTCTGCTAGCAGTCGCTGCCACATGCTAGCAAACAAATAGGAACTCAAAACAGATATGGTTATGTTAGCTCTTCCTGCACTCCTCTCTCTGGGAACATCTAGTGGGCTGCACCCTCAGCTCATACCAGCATGCAATCCGAAGAGGGCCATCCTTCAGATAAGATGTTAAACTGAGATCCCATCTGCCCGTTCAGACGGTTGCTAAAGATCACTATTCCGGAAGAAAGGGGACTTTATCCTGTTGTCCTGGCCAACAATCCTCCAGATTAATTGGTCCTTCAATTCAAGGCTATTTGTGGGACTTTGCTGTGTGCATATTGGCTGCCGCATTTTCTGCAACATACTGTCACTACACTTTACAGCCATTAATCTATGAGGTGCTTAGAGATAGTTTGAATCTTTTGGCATAGTATCCAAGGCAAGGATTATCATTATTACCGGTTCCCCAGGTAGTGTCTGATCAGCAATATGAAAGCACAAGAGACATGACCTGAGATACGCAGGGTATGGCGACCTCCATTTGTGACACTGATGATATGGCAACTCAAGTCCCTATTCAAGACCCGTGCCTTATTATACATGGCTGACAACAGCAGTAATATGAGAGTACCTGCTGGATATCTGTTGGATACTTACTCTCCTCTTGAGAACTAGTCTGATTTTTGACTGGTTGGTGATTAGCCGTAACGGTGTGCTGAGAAAGCTCTGGTCACTGTGAATGGCATCGGCCTCAATACGGAGCGTCTGCCAAGTTATTTCCTTAAAGGTTAGAACCTGACAATAGAAAACATTTCAGAGAATTTCTTTAACCTTTGGTAAGCTAAATCTTTGTTCTTCAGAATCATTCCCAGACGACTGACATGGACTAATTGGGCCGAATGGCTTGTTTCCGGCCATCTCATTCTATGTGAAATAGAGCCAGATCTCACAGCACATTAACTCACAGTGGTTAAAAACACCTATTACTTCAAAGTAAAGTCAAGTTAACACATGAACAGTGAAATTTGATCCAATTATTTGACTCGACGAACTTCCTGGACATTATTCAACCACTTACAATAAATGGAGGCAGCTGGCTAGATCCAGACATTCAATGAACTCAAGTTTCTATTACACTACATGAAATTTTCAGTTTTCACCCCTGTGAAAGACTCAATGAGAAAGAATCTGATTGACAGAAAATAAGTTGCACCTGATTGCCGTTTGCAGGTGTATACTGTACCAAACCTTGACTGTGGGTTGGTGCTCACTCACATTCCCCATATCTACTGCACTGTTCAACCAATTATTAGAAGAGCACTAGACAAGGCAGTGGAACAATACACAATTGCTCTGAAGGCCCAAGCCTGTGTTATTATAACATGTCCTCTCTGTGACTAATGGCTCCAGTTATAATGAGTTTGGCGGTCTCTAAGTATCATGTTTGGGATGAGAACATAGTAAAAAATTGTCTTAAATATAGCATTAATTAGCATCTCTCACTCACAGAGACCACAAAATAATTGGCAAGGAACGTGGAAAGGTCACTCTGGTAGTGTGACTCTGGGTGCTCCACATCCATTGTTGGAGCAAAGTGGAGAAGCTTTACTCTGCATTTAACCAGTCTGAGCTTGAGGGCAAAATAGCCAAAATAGACACTTGTATTTTCATATCCCAATTACCCACAATGGACACTCCTTTATAGAATCATACAGCACAGAAGGAGGCCATTTGGCCTATCGTGGCTGTGCCGGCTCTTTGAAAAGAGCTTATTGAGCACAAGCAAATTACATTTCCTTGGAGCAACCTAAACTCTACTTTTTATACAGTGCTTCAGTTTTGAAAAGGTCACTGCAGACTGTTTGCTGCTCAGCATCTAATTTACTTATAGAATTGTAGGCATTGCTATAATTTATTTAACAAAAGACAAAAGGGTGATTATGCATCAAAACAGACCAACTAAGAAGAGAGAAGAGGACAAGACAGATTGGATTAAATTGCTGTGTATTTAACACAGAGAGTGGAGGGGAGGCGCTTTGAGATATAGAGCCAGGTTGTGTCAGGAAATTCGAGAGATTTAATTAGTCAACTATCTGGTGAACAAGGTGAATGATGTTTATGGGAAATTGAGTGTAGGATTAGTGCTGTAACGTATTGGTTACAGCACTCACCTCGCAAGCAAGAGAACCTGGGTTCAATTTCAGGGCAGGGTGAAACGTTGGGCAAGTTTCCTTACTCCGCATACCTCTGTTACCTAGCAGTAAGTAGAAACCCGGTTGTTAATTGATTGGCAGATTAATTTTCTGGAAGTAATAATCCTTTCCAAAAAAATTAATAATTGTTCACTCAATCCACAACTGTTTGTGGGATACTGCTGTGTGCAATTGGCTGCCATATTTTGCCCACAAAGTATACAGTCAATTCACTTTACAGTATATTCTGTGAAGCCCTTTGAGACGTCTTGAAGATGTGATAAGGTGCTATATCAAATACAAAGATTATTATTATTATTATTATTTTTAATGGTTGGGACTGACCAAACAGCTTACTGTGGTCCTTTCCTGCCCTGTACATTCCTAAAACAACAGGCAGAGGATCACCGTATGAAGCACATTCACCTTAACATTCCATTTGTTTTGCTTAACCCGGTACCTGACACAACACGGAAAACTCATCACCATGTTTAAGAATCTCCAAACCAAACTACTGAGGATTCCACATATATGTGGAGATTTCTATTTGTCTGGAATAGAGGGTGCACTGCCTCCACAGAAGGATGAACCCTACTTACCTAATCTTGGACAGGTTAAGCTCATGGTTGCAAGAGTAAAGGCTTGAGAACACCAGTGTATGCACTGAGGTATTGCTTCAAGAATCAAACAATGCAATCCATAACTTGTGATTCTATTGGTGTGAAAGTGCTTCTGACAAACGTGTAAATGTTCCTGTGGCACAGACAGGATGAGTCAAATGGCCTTCTTCTGTGTTGCAATTCTCTATGATTCTAGTGATTGAGGAGCTAGAATTCATATTTTATGCACATCCGCACATATCATTTCCTAATTTCCTGTCTTTTGCAAATGTACACAGTTACAATCTACATAGTGCTGTAAAATGCTCTCAATGTGACCATCTGCCACCTGTTCACTTGTTTTGTGAACCTTTTAACCAACATTCTGGAGTAGCATAGTGTAAATTTCATCCACAAAATACAGTCACTGTATAACCTGTGATGCGCTTGTATGATCTTGACAACATGATAAGGTGCTATATCAAAGGCAAGGATTATTATTATTAAATTGTTTATCAGCACACAGAGTAATCACCAGGCACTGAAAGGAAATGTGGATCGTGTTTGCCAGGAAAAACAAACAAGATTGGAGTTACACATGGCCACACTTGTTTTGACAATCAGGACATTTCTGAACAATTTCACGCGTGGGATTACCACAAGAACATTTTTATAAAAATATTCAATTTAGTACGCGTGGAACAATGCTGTTTATTATAAAACACAGTTGACTGGTCTGCCAACATCTCCGCTAACCTTAGATACGTCTAGCACCTGACACAGAATAGTGGAGTCCTGTAGCTCAGTGGTTAGAGCACTCGCCTTGCAAGCGAGACACCTGGGTTCAATTCCAGGCAGTGCGAAACCTTGGGCAAATTTCTTTACGCCACATGTCTAATAATAATCCCTCCAAAACAAATTAAAAAAAAAAAAAAATTGGTCATTTTCAATCCACGACTGTTTGTGGGACACTTCTGTGCGCAATTGGCTGCCGTGTTTCGCCCACAAATATACAGTCAATTCACTTAACAGCATATTCTGTGAAGCGCTTTGAGATGTCAATAATAATAATAATAATCCATGCATTTGATATAGTGCTTTTCACATCTTCTAGAAGACAGGACCACTGCTGTTTTTGATCTATATAAATGACCTGGACTTTGGTATAGGGAGTACAATTTCCAAGTTTGCAGATGATAGGAAAAGCAGTAAACTAAAGTGGAGAGGATAGTAGCAGACTGCAAACGGACATAAGACAGAATGGTAAAATGGGCAGACACGTGGCAGATGAAGTTTAATGTGGAGAAATGGGAAGTGATTCATTCTGGGAGGAGAATGAGGAGAGGCGATATAAGCTGATGGTACAATCTTAAAGGGGGTGAAGGAACAGAGAGACCTGGGGGTCATATAAGTAAATCTTTGAAGGTGGCAGAACAGGTAGATACAGCTGTTAAAAAAGCATACGGGTTACTTGGCTTTATAAATAGGGGCACAGAATACAAACGTCAGGAGGTTATGATGAACCTTTATAAAACACTGGTTAGGCCTCAGGTAGAGACTGTGCTCAGTTCTGGGCTCCACACTCTAGGAAAGATGTCAAGGCATTGGAGAGGGTACAAAGGAGATTTACCAGGAAGGTACCAGGAATTGAGGGACTTCAGTTATCACAAGAGACTAGAGAAGCCAGGATTATTCTCCTTGGAGCAGAGAAGGTTAAGAGGAGACTTAATAGAAGTTTTCAAAATTAGAAGGGGATTCGATAGGGTGAATAAGGAGTATCTATATCCACTGGCGGGTGGGTCAGTAACCCGCGGCCACTGATTTAAAATAGCTACTAAAAGAAACAAAGGGGAGATGAGGAGAAATTTTTTTACACAGCGAGTTGTTCAGATTTGTAATGCATTATCTGAAAGGGTGTCGGAAGCCAAGTCGATAACAACTTTTAAGAGAGAAATAGATAATTATTTGGGGAGGACAAGTTTGCAGGGCTATGGGGAGATAGCAGAGGAGTCGGATTGAATTGAATAGCTCTTTTGAAAGCCGGCACAGACACAATGGGCCGAATGGGCTCCTTCTGTGGTATATAATTCTATGATCCTATGATTCACACAAAAAGCGGCTGCCATTTTCAAGAGAAACAGAATTCAGTGCAAACAAGTAGGATTGTGCCCACTTATAACATTGTTTGGGATTTTACGGATCCCAAATACTGTGGCTCCATGGGGTTCAACTGTACAAAGCACAAGTGTTAACTCACAGGTTACAATTAGTAAAATGTTTTAAGTTCACGGTTCCATACCTCTCCTCGCTCTGAATCTGCGATTCTTGTGAAGCGGAGATCACTCTGCTGCCACTTGGGGTTCACACTGTAGCCGTGCAGTTGCCACAGTTCGAAGGAAGCGTTGAACGCCTTGGCTTGGATTTTAATGACAATCGAGTTCACCACAATGGACATTCCCTCCACCACCTTCTCAGCAAAGCCATATTCACTGCAAGAGTCAAGAACACAACACATTTCAGGGCTGTACCATTCCACATGGTGTTTGGGATCACTCAGTAACTACGATATAAAGAAACCCCTGGAAGACAAAGATAATTATTTCTGTAAGACTGTCCTGTCCATTGGTTGTACCAGAATTTTATCCACAGAATCAGTCCCACCATTGTTCCTGGGTAGAATGCAGGCAATGAAGCTCACATAAGAAGATCATCTTTACAATTAAAGTTGTGAACTTCTACACTAGACTTGTAATGCCAAGTAGATGAACATGAATTTGATCAAAAAGCATATGGAAGAGTTCCCAATTTAAAAAGCAACAGCTTGCATTTAAATAAAGCCTTTAACATAGAGCAACATCTCAGAGTGTTTTATGATGACTAAGCTGGAGAAGAGAGGAGGCAAGAGGGAGATGACCATACACCTGGCTGAAAAGGTAGATTTATTTTAGGAAGCTTTTGAAAACCAATAGAAGTGGGTGAGACGGTGGGTTTGAAGGAGGGAATTCTGGAGGATGGGCACTCGGCTACTGGTGGTGGAGAGGGTGGGATGGATGACACACAGCAGGCTCGAGTTTCCCGATCAGAGGGAGTGAGCAGAAGAGTCAGGCGAGGTAGGGAGGTGTGACGGCATGTAGGTATTTGCTGGTTAGGGCAAGGATCCTAAAGTCAACCTTTTGAAAGAGAGGTAGTTGAGGATAAGGGTGATAAGCATGTGAAGCTTCATGTATGCAGGCGGCAGAGTGTTGGATTATTTGAAGGTTGTGGAGCTGGGGAGATCGACGAGGAGGGCATATCAAAAGGCAAGTCTGAAAATGACAAAGGCATTAAGGTTTTGTCAGCGTTGTGTATGAGATAGAGACGGGGGAAGGTGATGTAGTGAACACAAATTAGTGTCTTGTAAATGACTCAACTTTCTAACTTCCACATTTTCCAGTTTATTTTTAAAAAATCACAGAATTGGGTGTAAAAAATTGTGCTGTTCCTTGTTGCTTTGGCTGCCCACATAATTACTACAACTGGGGCTTCATGGGTGACAAAATGTCAGGTATAATTGCAGAGACTTGAGAGATAGTGTACTACTTATGAGAATGCTGGAATCATGCAGTGCTCAGCAGGATGAAGATCACTTTGAATACAGCTCTTTCAGAAGAACATTTGGCTGCAATAATTATTAGGTACAATTCATCATTCATATTAGGCCTGAAATTCCACCTAGTTTTAGCCAGTAAGGTCACATTATCATAAAATGCAGCACAGCACAAAATTGTGGAAACCTCTTCAATTCATTGTTAATCTGGAAGCCAGTTTTCTATAGATCTTAAATAGGCTGGATTGCATTTTACAACTGGTTTTGAGAATTTTCTGTAATTCTATGTGACCTTAAATATTAAGATAATGCATGTTCTTACAGACATACCGCGTGAGTTCTTTCCTGCACTGGGTATCACACACCTATCACCTGATGGGGAGAGTGGGTGTTCTGGAGGGTTGAGATTGGATGGGCTGAAGACCTTTTTCGTTCAGGCCAATCTTGTGATCTCCGTCTTACTAAACTTATCCCAAAGGAGATACATTTCAACATTCTCATCCATGTTTTACAGCCTCCCTCCACACCAGCTTTAACATCTCCATGTCTTAGCGGGCATTCTCCGATCTTCTGATTCTCACTTACTGGTCCTACCTCACTTGCTCTGCTCCACCTTTTGAGGGTGAACTTTTAATGCCCTGTCCTATCAAATTCACTTCCAAAATCACTTTACGCTGCTACGTCTCAAATTGAGACACTCATTCTTTATGAAAGGTGCTAAACAAGTGCAACTTGTATTACTCATGAGTACCTGTTGAAATCTACAGAAATAATTCAATGAAGTACAGTTAAAAACAGAAAATAGCCATTGTCCATACAGGTAGTATTGAAGAGGGTGGACTAACCTTTGACCTGCTGCAATGGCAATGGGAGAGGGTCCATTTGGTGCTCGAGGCTCCTCACAAGTCCTCATTTCCACTTCCACTTTATCCAGGAACTGAGAGAGAAAATATCAGGAAGAGAAGGTAAAAGATAAATATACAAGAAAGGGACATATATTGCCTGAAGTCGACAGTTTTTGCAGATTTGCATCTAAAAACTTGTGATCGTAACTTGAATGTCAGCAGGACAACAGCGAACAGCTTTGCGGAATTACCGGTTTAAGGACAAACAAAGGACCTGACCCAGATACAGCAAATCTTAAGGAAGTTACTGAAATTAAATCAGAAATGCTGAAGCCAGCAGTAGATAAATCAACTCTGAGCAAGAGATATGTAGATGCTTGGGAGTTGCCCTTCATTGGAATTCTGATTATTTACTGAAGCTGACATCTGTAAACATCAACCCAATCCAGAGCTGACTAACCTGCTCATGATTGCTAGTATCTTTAGTCTTTTTCTAGCTACTTAAGAAATGACTCTTCCTCTTGTAACCTGTTGAAATCTATAGAAATGATTCAATGAGGTGCAGGAATGAATATGGTGGCAGTGTAAACATTTATCGGGGATGCTTTCTGAAACCATTTTTTCCACTTAATTCTCTGCTGTTTTTTTAGGTCAAGGCTCATTAATCTTAGCTGAGGATAATAGGTGAGAAAGAAGGGAACAGAGGGGAATGTGAGGAGGGTAAGAAGGGAAGAATGAGGTGTGGAGGCTCATGTGGAGAACAAACACTGACAAGGACTAGATGGACCAAATGACCCATTTCAGTGCTGCAGATTTTGTGTAATTAATATTTAATATGACATACAATAGGATGACACAAAGTGTTTGATCTGCATGGTTTAAAATGTAAATGTCAGCGTATTGGTATGGTGATCTTAATCCTCTTAGCGGGAATGGAGCACAGCACAAAACTGTGCCGGATACAACACAGAAATATCCCCAGGGCGGCTGTCGTGAGCAACCTCATACTGGTGCTGTCGAGGACACTTTTCGCAGCTTCGGCTTCAGTGAAATGGAGTGGAACTTGGCTAACCTCTGGCCTGCACACAACAATCACGTTTGGCTTTTCAAACAATTTGAAGCTGATAAAATAATTGCAACTTTCTTACCAGACAAATGGGATGGGTCTTCAGTTTCGTCCATTGGATCTGAAGAGAAGAAAACGTTCAGTAGTTCTATGTTAACTCATGACTGGTTGTATCAGATCCAATAACATCTTCTCTAAATTCACCATTAAAGCCACAGCCCATTGCATCAGCACATAGGCAAATTTCTCTACTCCACACGCCTAATAATAATCTCTCAAGAAAAAAATAATAAATTCAATCCACGACTGTTTGTGGGACACTGCTGTGCATAATTGGCTGCCGTGTTTCGCCCACAAATATACGGTCAATTCACTTTACAGTCTATTCTGTGAGGCGCTTTGAGACGTCGAGAAGACATGAAAAGTGCTATATCAAATGCAAGGATTATTATTATGAAGTGTTGCTTACAAACTAATGGGCACAGTCTAGTGCAATGACTCTGGTCTTCCTGCCCAAGGCAGATTCATAGTTTGGAAAGCCTCTTGTAGCCTATGCTGGTCACCAAATAAACTTCCTGTATTGTACTGTAAAACAGGAAGGACAAAGGCCAGCGAACTTTTAAAGACCATCGCTCATTGTCTCTATTAAGTTCTCTTCACATCAGGGTGTGAAAACGCCTTGGGACTTCCTTCTGGAGTGAAAAGCACTGCATAAATCTAATTTTGTTGTTGTTGAAAGAGACAAATGTGGTTACAGAAATGCTGCTGTAAACAGACTACAATGTCCTTGTTGGTGTCTATCCTCTTGCCCCTCCATGAATTGACTAGCTCTTCAAAGTTCATAAACTTGATGTTCAATGGACAAAAGGCTATCGTCTTTAATGGTTTGTTAAAATTCAAAGAACAAACTGAATTTGTAGGATGCAAACCAGTATGTGAAAACACTTATCTGTGAGACAACACAGGAGATCACAGGACAACACTTCTGACAGTCTGTCTGCAGAGAGAACTATCTGGTTGTTACAAACAGCTGTTGTCGAAATTGTATTACAAAATGGGTAACTTTAGTATTTAGTTTTTTGTTCTTATATTTTATTCAATCCTTTATACTCTTGGCTGAAAATGATATGTTATTCTCATGAGACCTTTAATTAAATTATTATAATTGAAAAACAAAATTGGTAAAATTGTTGCTATTTTCATCTCCTTTATAAGGGACTAAGAAACAGAATCCTGGTTTGTGAATTGTCTGTTCTGCTGCTGAGATTTACAGATTCCTGGGACGTTAGTGGGTTATGGAGGGTAGTCAATAAAGCTGAAACCAGAGAAAGATACAAAATCGTGGCATCCCATTATAATTTGAAAAGAAACTTCCTCAGGCCTATTGTACTTTATAATTGGTCATGCTTGAGAATGCTCCAACTGGAGTGAAGGTCAGTCTGAACCCAAGGGTACATTCCTGCAGTGAAAGCATAGATCCCCTTACAGTCAAGTACAATACTCAATATTAATGGAGCTACATTGCAGTATGTACATACTCCTTGAACCAGGTAACATTCTTAACAATGGCCAGGGTGCTCACAATCATACTCATCTCTTTGCTGAGTCCAGCAACACCCAAGACCCTTTGCCAGTGTTGTTGCAGCACACTCAGGTAAATACAAAGCAGGGAAAGACCATTCATGACACCAGGCAGCACTGAAGACAATGTTGTACTGCAGGTCCACTAACACTGCTGATAAGTGTTCTATTGGTTTGAACGCACCTCTTCAATCGTTCTATTGATTTGAACACAGATCTTCAATAATTCGATTGGTTTCCTTCCTTCAAAGCCTAAAATAATAGTTATTTATCCCAAGTAAGGTCAAAGAAATAATGAAAATTTGTGAAAAAATACTTCTTTAACAGGACTCCAAGGACTGTCTCATGCCCACCAGCACTACTGATAAGTGTTCTATTGGTTTGAATGCACCTCTTCAATAGTTCTATGGGTTTGAGCACACCTCTTCAATAATTCTAATTGTAGACACAGATGGTTTCGAGGAAAATAGCTGTACCTGTGTGTGATTCCGCTCTGTACTTACCCTGATAGCAGCCTTGTTGCAGTACACCCTTGTTATCGCCAGCCAGGTGGGCAAATCCAAAACATTCTGCAGCACTTCTTCATCCAGCTCCAGATTGGTCAGCTGACCCTCTCCTTTGAGCGTACTTAGATTGATTTTGTCTGGTGAGAGGTTCTTTGCAAACCTGTCACATCAAGCAGTAGTGAGAATTAAACTACATTTCAGCAACATGTCATTGCAAACACCCATCATGATCACCAAAAATGTTTAACTTGTGCTTCAACTTTTTACTTAGAACCAATTTGCAATGAAGGAGTCACAACTGGCCTCAGTGGCCCTGGGCTAGGAAGAAGGAAAGATTCTACAGCCAGGTTCCTGATCGTGAAACCCAGGGCTTCTGCTGGAAACCGATACAGGTGTTGGGCACTGGGTGAGGAGCAGTCGTGATGCTGACTGAGGTTCAATATCTAGAGGTATTTAGGTGAAGTATAGAAGGGTTCCCATTACCCTGGATCTGACCAGCATCCTTCAGGTGAAAAGGGAATACAATGGAGGGGAAACAAAATAAAAGCTATTCCAGAACTACATTATCTGCTCCAAAACCGGTCATGCCCATTCACCAATGGTTCACATCCTAACCTGGGCTGTAAATTCACTGAAATGGGAGGGGAAACAAAATATAAACTATTCCAGAACTGATCAAGAACAAAATTCACTCAATAAGTAATGGCAACTACTTAACAAATTAGTAAGATACTGTGTATTAGTAAGATACCTATTAAAAGAACCGAGGGAAGAGATAGCAGAGGCACTATTACACATATATAATAACGCATTAAAAAAGGTAGTAGTGCCTGAGGACTGGAGGATACTAATGTTATACCTATATTTAAAAAGTGAGATAGAACAAGCTCAGGGAACTATAGATCTATCAGCTTAACATCGGTGGTAGGAAAGATAATGGAATCCTTACTGAAGGAGGTAATAGAAAAACAACTGGAAATGGAAAACATAATAAAGAATAGTCAGCACGGATTTCAAAAAAGCAAGGTCATGCTTGACCAACCTCATTGAATTTTTTTGAAGGGGTAACAGAAAGAGTAGACAAGGGTAATGTGGTAGTTGTAATATATTTAGATTTCCAAAAGGCGTTCGATAAGGTACCGCATATTAGACTGATGAATAAGGTCAGAGCATGTGGAGTCAGGGGAAAATGGCAGAATGGATAGCAAGCTGGCTGCAAAACAGAAAACAGAGAGTAGGGGTAAAGGATAGCTACTCAGACGGGCAGTGGGTAGACAGTGGTGTTCCACAAGGATCGGTATTGGGACCACTGTTGTTCACAATATACATTAATGATTTGGATTCGGGAATCAGCCGTACAATTTCAAAATTTGCAGATGACACCAAATTGGGGTGAGTAGTTAATACTGAGGAGGACTGCAACAAATTACAGTAAGACATCAATAAACTTGCTGAGTGGGCATTTAAATGGCAAATGCATTTCAATGTAGAAAAGTGTGAGGTGGTACATTTTGGTAGATGGAAGAAGTCACATACATCCTGGAAAATAAAAACCTAAATGGGGTAGAGGAGCAAAGGGACTTAGGGGTACACATACACAATTCACTAAAAGTAGAAACGCAGGCTAATAAGGCCATAAAAAAGTAAACCAGGCATTGGGGTTCATTTCTAGAGGATAGAAATAAAAAGCACAGAAGTTATGGTAAACTTCTACAGAACCTTGGTTAGACCACACTTAGAATACTGTGTGCAGTTCTGGTCCCCACATTATAGAAGGGATGTAGAGGCACTGGAGAGGGTGCAAAGGAGATTCACAAAGATGATCCCAGAACTGAGAGGTTATACCTATCAGGAAAGGCTGAACACACTTGGACTCTTCTCTCTTGAAAAGAGGAGGGTAAGGGGTGACCTGATAGAGGTCTTTAAAATGATGAAAGGTTTTGATAGGGCAGACATAGGGAAGATGTTTCCACTTGTGGGGGAGACCAAAACCAGGGGATATCAATATAAAATAGTCACAAATAGATCAAATAGGAGAGTTAGAAGAAATTTCTTCACACAGAGAGTAGTGGGAATGTGGAACACGTTACCACAAGGAATTGTTGAAGCAAATAGCATAGATAATAATAATAATAATCCTTGCATTTGATATAGTGCTTTTCACATCTTCAAGACGCCCAAAGCACTTCACAGAATATACTGTAAAGTGAATTGACTGCATATGTGTGGGCGAATGCGGCAGCCAATTGCGCACATCAGTGTCCCACAAACAGTCGTAGATTGAAAATGACCAATTTTTATTATTGTTTTTTTTTTTGGAGGGATTATCATTAGGCTCTGTGTGGAATAAGGAAACTTGCCCAAGGTTTCGCTCTGCCTGGAATTGAACTCAGGTCTCTCACTTGCAAAGCGAGTGCTCTAACCACTGAGCTACAGGACTCCACATGTATTTAAGGGAAAGCTAGATAGGTACGTGAGGGAGAAAGGAATAGAAGGTTATGCTTGAAGGCTTAGTTGAGGAAGGGCAGGAGCAGAAACACCGGCATAGACCAGTTGGGCTGAATGGCCTGTTTCTGTGCTATATATTCTAATGTATTTTAATGTATACTGTAGGTCAGTGTGTTGTTGACCATTTTCACTCTTATTAAAACAAAACATTCCCTCAATGATCAATAGCATTGTTCAGTTACACCAAGTTATACCGAATAATTCTATCCTCGGCAGCCGGTGGGGAGGAGGGTTAAGCACATGGCCCCTAAGTGAAATGCTTGGCTTGGCAACGGAATACCTGGAATTAAGTCAACTCTCTATAGCAATGTCAGTAGTTGGTTGCTGAGACAGGTGGGTCTGTAGTAGACCAGACAGCCCGTCTTGGAAGGAGCAGGCCGGCCACTCTTAGCAGGGATTCTTTAAAGGTGCTTTTTCAAACTAAACCGTGGTAATTCACCATTTTTTCCCCCCCTACTACTCTCTCAATGTTTATCTTCAGACACTGCAGAAAGTCACTATCAACTGCTGTTGGCAAAGCATCCGCTAAAAACATGTTGGAAAGAATTTAGATTTTTTTTGTTTTGAATTATCATTGCTGCTTGCAGGATGTTGCTGGTTTATGTTAATTGCTGAGTTTGCCCATAAAACAGTTGTTTCATTTCTAATTAAATTTTGTTCTTTAAAACACTTTGAGAGGTTCTTTGACTTCGAGGACTCTGTTTTGCAGAACAAAATGTAATTAGAAATGAAACGACAGTTACATGGGCAACCGCAGCAATTAACATAAACCAGGATCTTACTTGGAATAAAATACTGCATAAGTCATCTCTGATGATGGCCCTGTTGGTGAAGCCACTGGCAATAGCATCTTAAGACAAAACAGAGCCAGAGATTGTTAAATTCCACGTGAGGAACAGGTTGATGGGACCTCAGTTTAACGGCTCGACTAAAAAACAGCACGTCTAATAATGAAACACTTGCCGGCACTTCACTGGAGCACCAACGCATACTATGAATTCAGGTGTTAATGTGGGGCTGAGGGTGCTATTCACTGAGCCAGCCTGAATATCAACAAAACAGAAGAAATATTAAAAGATACGCAGACGCTGAATGTGGCATGCAGAAATTCAAATGTACGAGTTGATATAAAAAAAGCAGAGCCATGAAATTAAGAGCCTGTAAAGTCTTTACATAGACTACAAATTAAACAGGCCACAAATACCACTCAGACTCAAGCTGTGGAGACTTCAGATGTTCACTGTTGATGCCTGAATTCCTTATGCTCCCCCCTACCACGTTTAATGTGGCTCCCAGCTGGCTGGAAAGTTCAGTCAGTTTAGAGATAAAAATTATCACTGGGGTTTCTGGAAATCAGCACCATGGGACGTCCACCCGGAACACAAAAGGCTATACAAATGTAATTTTGTATTGTAAATCTAAGATAACTTCAGCTGTATCCTTCACACTGACCTGATTATTTTACAAAGCTCTGAGATGCTACTCTGCGTGAGGGGCGTTATATAAATGCAAGTTGTTATTGTATTTTTGGAGTCTTCATTCCCTCCCCTATCAACACCCCAATAACAGCAACATGTCCTTATGCAGCACAGCTCCTTGCTCACGAGATGAACGTCTCAAAGCTCTTCACAAAGACGATGTGTATCACCGAGGGATGGGAGGAAGTTTAAAGGTGTTGCCCAAAAGCAGTCAAAGGAAGATGTTTTCAAAATGGTTTTGAAAACATAACGAGAAGGCACAAGGCAGAGAGATGTTGGGAAAGAATTCCAGAGTGGAGGTATCCATGTGGAATGCACTGACATATCCTGTGTGGCTCATCCTGAAATTTGCAGAATTCCAGGACACAGTTTCTACACAACTGCGATATTGTCTTGTTTTGTAACTCATAACTCATCACAAGGTCAGGTTTTCCACCTGACGATGGGGTCAGGCACTAGCAAAGCTCATTGCACACCCAAAATGTTCTACCCTCAGGTTTATCTTTTGGTCAGCTGGCATGGTGATAGGCTTCCAATTGTGTCAGATACGCAGTTCACCAAAGATAAATTGAGGGTTTAAACAACAAGCAGCATTTAAGCTGAATGCCCGTTCCCCATTTCCTCGGTATCCAACCCCACCACCTTACAGCACTCCAAGTCGCTACATTCAAGAAAGGCGCTGTATAAATGCAAATTGTTGTGTGGATATAATGTGGCTTCCAATGCTTCCTAGAGTCAGCACTTAGAGAGACAGATCTGCCAGTAAAATAACTCCAACCAGCCTTACAGCATTAATCAGAGACTTCCAGGCAATTCAGTTATGTCAATGATCTATGGAATAAAAGGAAAGGTTTTTTTTTAAATCACAATTTGAATTGTGTGGATTATAAACATCGGCACAGACTAATTGAGCTAAAAGACCCTCGTCTGTGCAGTAGGAGTTTATATAATAAGATCACAAATGGTTCAGATAAAGAAGGCCCTTTAACCCACTTGATAAAGGAAGTAGCAATATACTTAGATAGGTACCTTAGAAATATTGCTTCCCATCCTCACTTAGGAAGTGTGCTGGAGAGAACTAGTTAGTGCCGAGAATCGAACTTCAGATAGTAGCACAGAAGGTGCCAATCAGCAAGAATATAGAATGAGAAGAGAAATACTGGAGTGGAAGAAGAATGCACA